TTGCACATCCTTACAGAAAAAAAACCTTCAAAGCGAAGTTAGTCCCACACGAGCAGGATCCCTAATTAAAATTGAAACCGATTGCGTCTCCCTGGAGAACTGTAATGCTATTCGAATCGCCGAATCGCGCGAATTTAAAGATTTTCCGCCTTATATGGCAGGCATTCGAAATCAATACACGTCCAATAATGTTCACCGACACTCGACTTGACGAGTGCTCTTACACGTGCATTATCTTATCAGGGAAGCGCCTCCCGTTCCATGGCAAACCCATCTATAGTCTATAGGCGATTGGTGTAGTATCATCGGAGCTGCCTTCTCCCGATCGATACTCTCTCTGCCATTGCCATCGGATCGAAATCTCAATATATATTAAGCTGCTTGTTTTGGTCGGAATTGCACTTGAACTGGCCCATATGTAATGTGATAAGGCGCGGCGGTGCAGCGAAAACTGTGCCCCCAATCTCAATTTGTTTGCTTGGCCGACCCGCCGGCAAAAGGGCGACTGCCCCACTTCACTCCTGGCATACTACAAAAAAACCATTTAATTTACTAGGAATTCGCCTGCAAAAACCCAATCCCCGTTTCCGGAAATATGCTATAACCATATTCCAACCAATAGCTTAATAAGATGTCTTATTCTTTAATTAATAATTTTATAAACAAACCGCAAAAAATATGATTTGACCAAAATTGTAAAAGTTAGTTGCGTTATCTATGAGCCTCCCAATATTAGTTGATTTCGGTACTCTAAGCATGGAATTAAACTATGTGTGTTTTCGATTGTGATTTAGATTATTAAGATTTATTTTAACATATAAAAGAAATTAAAATTTTTTAAAAACACCAGGAAATCTTTCAGTGTAATTACAATTTAATCAAAGATATTTTTTTCAGTTTAAGTACATGTCCCTATAGGGCAAAAAAAAACAAAAACATATTAATCTACAAGTGCCTCTTTTAGTCACATACCGCAACCCAACCCATTTCTAAATAAAATCAAATGACACCGATTGCGTAAATACGGTTTTGTAATGATTCGTGATTATTGAGTAATTTCCGATGCACTTTAACGCCACTGTCCTTGGATTTATTTAGCTATTTCCAGATCGAAGGTGGTGACACAATTTCTGAGAGTCAGGCGAGACACGTGCAGGGGGTGTGAAAGGCACTCGGAATAGCGCCGATTGTCATATCTGCTTGGGCAGTATCTCGACAAGTTATTGGTCAAGAAACACCTGGACTAGCCAAATAAAACACTTGAGATTGGTCCTGTCACCGTAAAAGCTATCCTCTCATCAACAAGTGTCGTAATTGTTGCGCAAATGTATAATTACTTTAAACTCTTCCTGCCGAGTGTTAACGATAGCACAAAGTAGTAGTAGTTGAATACCAAAAAAATTATAATGAATGGATATTGTGCGCCGTTAATTTATAGACCTTTTTGAGTAAATTCCTTCGTTGGGGTTTTAACCATAACTCAAACAGATTTATTTAATCTCTAAAATTGTTCAAGTCCCTAGATATGTGTTGTTTTGACTTGCATTGACCAGCTTCTGATAAGCTTTTCAAATAATTCGGACACATGAGTTTATGAACTTCTTCCTCTGAAGGTTACCAAACCATTTTACCAATCTGCTAGTCACGGAAGTAAGTTTTAAGAGTGATTAAGTCAAAAACTTTCCGTGGTGACTCTACAGTTTTTTCTGTTTATTTAGGTGTACATACTTGCTAAGCAAATGTGTTTTTAACAGTATTGTTCTTTTAATATTGTTGATTCTTTAATGTTTATTGTCGAACGAAAAAAGGGGCGTTCTTAAAATTGTTATCAGGGTGAAATTACAGCAAAGCTTCAAGCTGACATAGTTGGCAGACTACTATCTATACTCTAAAATTGTAAATAATAAATAAAGTGATACAAATTTTCTATAAAAGTATTAACACTTTGACACAGATCACTATTTTAGTGACGAGACAGACATTTCAAAAATGTAATTAGACACAATTTGATAAGACACTATTTCACCGCCACCAAAATTAAGTGTTGTTTTCGTCGAATGAGTAGGTAGAGATACTATTCCAAGTGTTGGCTATATACACAAAAAGGGCTGCCAATTAATAGATATATCTTCACATAAATTGGGAAGCTTAATCTTTGAACACTTTATCATTTTTCTTTAATTGCTCGAAGGATTTTACTTTTAACTCAAACTTTTTATATTTTAAATACAATTTAGAATTCTAATCAAGTTTACCTACAATAAAGGAACTTCGTGGAGCCTTAAGGACAGCTTAACGACAAACTGTGGACCGATCGCTTCAAAATCAGATGGAAACTAACAAAATTATTTAAGGGAACATTATCACATAAACTTCGTTCACGTTTACTGCGATAATGCGTTTGGTATGGGCCCTAATCGCAGCACATGCTATTATCATATTTGATATTTATAATAATTCAAGGCGACACTTCATGATCAATTTATCAGCACTCGGCAGCGGGGTAACAAATCAGTGGCGACCAAAAACAAACACTTTGGTGATACACTTATTAACTAGGTCGTTCGACTCACCCATTTTGAAGCCGAAATTATCAATTAGTGGGCAATCAATGAAACACTGTCTGGCTGTAGTACTCGGCGTATACGTAATGTGAGAATTAATTTAGTAATAATTCAGTAACTGGAGTCCACAGAGATCAGAGCTAACTGTTTGGCTGGCTGCCGGAATTGAAATGATGTCGAATCGCGGGTGTTTTGACGCTTTTGTGTTGGGCATGCAAAAATTATGACAGACGCATTTATACTCGTACTTAGTCGCAACTCAAACAGAGGCTAGATAATACATTCTGTATGTAGTACTGTGCAGGAAGCTCACTCACACACGCCCCATTGTAGAGAGCCAGACTTATCGCAGACATGGGCAACTATCACACCGAATTAAACGAGAGCGTTGAACCAAGCTCGACTGAGAGAGTTGAACTCGGAATTTTTGCGATTTTTATCAACGCTTTGTCTGCCTAGTCGGCAATTGGACGCTGCTCACGCAGCCTTTTTTGACATAGAAAAGTAAACAGAGCTATAAAAAACACATTTAAGTTCAGTTAAGGTGTTCACAGACCTCTAGTTCCGGACAATGTTGTGGAAAACTTTAGAGTAATTTGGCCGATCGGTATCTCCGACCGCCGGAGTGAGTCAGCGTTGAGGAAGTTAATTAGCATGCACCAGACCCGATTCGGGGGATTGACTTATTCCGATGGCCTATCGATACAGTTAGTACATACACAATCAAGTCGCTTGGCTAGTCGGTAAGTATCGTGCGTGCCCCACACATCTGCTAATTGAAATGTCTCCGGTGTAGGCACTTTAAGTGCTTTATATCGACGTGGGCCCCCGATGTGGGGATTCTGGTTAACGCCATCCGGAACAGGCAACATGATATACATGGGAATTACAAGCCAGAAGTCAGTGCGTTTGTTTACGACGCTCTGCTAAATTTAAATCGCGAAAGTGAATTTCATTTGGGGGCTTGAATAATGATAAGGCAGCAGTTGCATTTTTTTTACAAAACTGGTTATCAGGTCTTGACAAAATTTTAATGTGAAAAAAAAACATTAATGATTTGTTGCACTATGTAAATGGAAAAACGAGAGGCTCGTGTTGTTGTCAATTCGGAAGTAAGTTGCATTTTGTCAATTACCATTTTAAGAACATTCTCCTTATTTAAGTTACAACCAAAATAAGTTGTAAATTATATTGCATATGATGAATTATATTTTTATAGAAGAACCAAGCAAATATAGCCCCTAATGTTAAAAATAAACAGGCCATAAATCGATAATTCTATCATCAATACAAGTAGCCACATAAAGTGGTAAAGCGTTTATAGCGCTTTGATAACAAAATATATAGTGCAAATATGTAATACACATTGATAATAACTGTATTGTTGTTTGATAGAAAAAGGCAGGACTTTTTTTTGCGCAATCTAAAACTTTTATTAGTGGTGTAGGAAAAATATCTGCAAATAAATTAGTATTTATAATTCATAGGCATTATAAAAAATAGTATTACTTCTTAAAAGGTGAATCGTGTTTTTTATTTTTAATTGGTTGAAAATTGTTCCACCATTTTTCACCTTTGTTTCAAAAAATATATGTGAAACTTTTGATAAAGGGTAATTTTGATAATGGTTTTATTTTGTAAAAATTACTTAAAGTAAACTGAACAGCAGCCAACCTTAAATTCAATCTGCATCTAAATTTCTAAAAATTATAAATACTAATTGCATACAAAATAAGTGATTTGATAAATTAGTTGTATACTTATTCTTGGTTTTCTTTAGTATGTATATTTTATCTAAATTATAGTTTTCATAATGGATCGCGTTGTTTTTATGCACTTTGTTTTATACAAGCTAATCCCTAACCTATCAATCAAACCGATTTATTTACTAGACACTCGAACGTCGAACGGCAATTGAAATTATCGGCAATAGCTGTAAACTACATATGCCTAATGATCTCCAGCGGCAGTATCAATTTCACATTTCCACCCCTGCGATATTTGTATTTAGCTTGTTGCTGATTGTGGACAACCTGTTGAGCAAGTGGGCAAATACGAGTATCCAAGCAAATACACACTTCGATGGGCTTCCTGTAATTGCGTTAAATATTTGCATAGAAATGCCGGCAATCGAACAAAGTGGGATAGCCTAAACTATGGTTGGCACGATTTCAATTTGCATTTTGTGCGTCGATCTGGCGATTCCGATGTCGATCAATCAATCAACCGACGATGACCTTCACACTGACCATGACGAGGGGCGGAGATGGGGAGGGGGGGAGTGGAATCTCGACGAGCTCTGGCGCCAGGAGTGGGCGTGGCCTGTCGCCAACGTCCAGCGGGTAAACTGCAACCGCCTGATAGTGGTATATTTTCGCACTTTAAGGGGCGTACCCGGGCCCTGTGGTTATCGCTTCCAATCTGACCCGCAAACACTTCGTTTTTTATAGCATACGTTTATTATCAAATATATGTACATTTATTATAATTAGTACATGTAAGTATATGTCTTTGACATCTTCGCGTACATTGACGTACAGCAGGAAAAGTTTATACAAGAAGAAGAGCACAAACAGGTTGAAACTTTTTCGCACCTTAAATCATTACGGGGGCCATGAGTACTTAGAAACTAGTTGAACTACACTAAATGTAAGCTTCGAAGTCAATTTAAACACTATGAACATTGTGGAACATTAACAAGTTAAATTGTACATTTCTCGTATTATGGTTCTTCGATCGAAATGGCTATAAAACCTTTGCAAAATATTATTCACTCCATATACTTCCGATTTTAATGGAATAAGTCATATAAAATACATATATATTCAAAAATTAAATATTGTTTTATTTAATGCAGAAATGAAAAAGAATAACTTTAGCTTAATAGTTAATCTCTTGTGTGAGTTGAGTTTTATAAATGAACACCAATTGGGAGAATCTTCTTATGTTATATAGGTTGTAACTTAACTCTTTTGCAAAGGTATTAAACCAAGCCCTCCAAACTCCTACATTACTTTTTGGCATTTAGCTAGAATAAACTAAAAAGCAGGATCCTGAAGGGATCCCCTAGCGACCGCTCAGCCAGCTCTGGATTTGGCTGGCACTCTTGCCCTTCGTCTCCTGCAAGGAGATGACCACATAGACGGTGGCCACCGCCATCCAGCCGCTGAAGAACCAGAAGGGCACGTCGTCTCCGAAGGACTGCAGCGAGCCGAAGCACCAGGTCACGACGAACACACACACCCAGTTCACCATGACGGTCAGGGAGACGGCGGTGCCCTTCACGTCCGGCAGGAAGAGCTCGCCCATCATCATCCAGGGAATGGGGCCGTAGCCCACCGAGAAGCTGACGATGAAGAACACCACGCAGAGCAGGGGCAACCAGCCGATGGACGCGGCACCTCCGTTTGCCTTTATCGTGAAGTAGGCACCCAGCATGGCCAGGCAGACGGTCATGATCGCACTGCTGGCGACCAGCAGTATCTTGCGCCCGGACTTGTCGATCAGCAGGGAGGAGGCCAAGGTCATGACCACCTGCACCACGCCCACGATTATGGAGCAGATGCTGGGGTCCAGGGTGCTGCCCGCCGACACAAAGATCTGGTTCGTGTAGAATATCACCGCGTTGATGCCGGAGAACTGCTGGAAGACCATCAGGAGTACCGAGATCACCAGTCCATTGCGGGAGGCGCGATTGCTGAACAGATCCATGATCGAGGCATCCCCACTAGACTTGTCCAGATCGTGCTGGATCACCTGGATGGCGGAATTGGTGTCGCAGTAGTTTCCCCACAACCATTTCAAGGAGCTGGTGGCCTTTGTGCGATCACCCTGGAAGTCAGAAGAAATAAATTAATATGTTATCAAATCAATAAAACATTTAATCCTCAGATGGTCAGAAAGTAAAACAAAATATTTAGCAGACATTTTTGTAGATTACACAAGTTACACAGATAAACAACCATTGTACTTTGCCAAGATATTTGCGGGCTTCTTAGTTGATCAACCACAGATTCCGAAGTATAACTAAACCTAGGAAAGTCCTATATGTGGTGACATTTTGAATTATTTAGAACATTAAAACTAGCTTTGTAATATGCTATCTCTACGCTAAATGAAAAATATATCTTAAATGTTGGCTTATTATAGCTCTAAAAAAATATCTCAAATATTTGGTTTTCATCTAAAACTATTTTGTATTCAATTTTTAAAAAGTCAAGGAAATCTGTCTTTTAAAAATAAATGACTAGTTTTATAAATTGCTTTTTCTATTTTTCATTTGAGTAGATTATAATAATTAAATAAATCATGAAACAAAATGGTTCGTGGACATTTTAAGAAGTTCGATTTTGTGTTCCTGTGTTATTAATTATACGAGCACCTTTTTCTAGGAGTTAATCGAAAGATTTTAAATGTTTTACATTTTTTTTTAGCCTACTTACCCTTTTAAGCAGATAGACTGGAGTTTCGGGCAGGAAGATTAGGCCGACCAAGAGCAGGATTGGTATGAACAGACAGAGCGTGCTCAGAGTTGTCCACGAGACCACAGCCCCCACCACATATACGAACAGGATGCCGATCGTGAGGAGCAGCTGGAACAGAGTGCCCAGGCTGCCGCGGATGCTGGTCTCCGCGATCTCCGAGATGTACATGGGAGCCACCACGCAGAAGCTGCCAGTGGATATACCTGGGATGTGGACGGTATTAATGCGGTTCCAACAATGCTAGCTCCATCACCTACCGATCAAAAACCTTCCCACGTACAGCCAGCCGACCGACTGACCGAAACTGATCGAAATCCAGGCCAAAATGAAGGGCACGTCCATGACCATGGCGGTGTAGCGTCTGCCGATCGTATCAGCTATAAATCCAGAGGGCAGGGCTCCGAAAAGAGCACCTGCTGCCAGCAGGGAGCCTACCCATGTTTCTGAAAAAAACAAGCATTATATGATAATCAGTATGTTTTGAACTCATTAAACAACCCACAAATAGGCGACCACAGAAAAGTTCGGTGGAGCTTTTTCCGTATCAATGACGTATGGTCTCCACGTTCAAATTTTATTATCTGTATTATCTACATCTATCTATTAACCACTTGTAACGACCATGCAGCTTATATCTCCGTACTCTATTTTGAGGGCTTGGGGCTTAACTGAATAAACAAAAAACATTTGACCGACAAATACCCGCTAAGGAATGTAAAACAAATTAAATTACAACTTTAAGTTCAGTGTGACTCTTAAACTGGCTGTGCTTTAAGGCGTTGGATTTTAAATTGGTCCACAAATTGCAATTTAAATATATTTGTTTTTAAATGCATATTTATAAATTATTTTATTCGCTGCTCTTTATGTTTTGTTCACAGTTTTGAACTTTAAACAATCATCTTAAAACTTGGTGTTTTTTCAGTGTACTTCTTAACTTATTGATTTGTTGCTTAATAAACCAATACAATTTAATAAAAAAGAGTGCTATCAATGCAGTCTTAGAGCACTTGTTATAGACAATCAAAGAAATGGTATAAGTAAGTGGCTCACCTTGCGATTTAGTCAGTAGAATGTCACTACTACTGGAAGTCGAACTAGTTGCATTTGCTGTGGAGTTTCCGGCTGTTGAGTTATTGGGAGTGATTTGCGGAAAAACAGGACTCGTCCAGGCCAGAGCAGTTCCGGCAGCAACCGCTCCCAAGCAAACTGTAATTATTTAATAAGTGTACCTTGAAGACCACGTCGCACTAAATAATTCCGTTCTTCTCACTTATCAAGGCCGCAAGATATTGGCGTGACTTCGAAGTCCTCCCCACGCCTTCCTGGAGGAGATCGTAGTTCATCGGATCGCGAGAATTCTGATCACCATCCTCTTGACTGACAGTCTGCAAAGGGAAAAAGACGGTCTTGAGTAATTGCCTTTAGTATAATTTATCTCTATCCATAATGATTACAATTGCTGCTCTGTTTGGTTTCCTCGCTGGCCTAGTTACGATAATATTCAAATTGCTTGTGTTCCTTTGGACTTTGATAAAATCAATACATACTAGTATTAAAATAGCTAGATCTTTAAAGAAAATTCCGACAGTAAGCGATATTAAGACTCAATTTAAAGAGATGTCAGTTGGCAAAGTCCAAACTATAGTAAAGGAAAAGTTAAATAGGTCTTGAAAAACATATTCTTATAAATAAAATATATATTGGCTACAGCAACATGTGAAAATAAAAATGACAACCCAATTAGAAAGGTAAATACGTGCAGACTTTACTGCATTTTTAAAAGTTTAACAAGGCCTGTTAGCGTAGTCTTTTTTAACTACAAAAGCATTTTATTTAAAACGAAAAAAGAACACAAAAACCACGTTATTTTCAGTCATACAATTTTACATAAATGATAGCAACAATTGGTTCTTCTCAAACCGAAGATCGGTGAAAACTTAATAGTCGACTTAAGAGTTTTCTTTCATTTCCACTTCGACAAAGTTCCAAACTATTATTATTAAAAAATAATGAGAGTCTACGCTTTAAAATTAAAAACCCGAAAAAGGATAAAATTATTCATAATTTCAGGTACTAAATAATTTTAACAGATAGAAGTTTTAATAAGAAAATATAAAAAACAAAAAAAAAGTATTTTGAACACCTTCGGTATTCTGAAACCTTTTTATTTGTATTAAAAAAAATAACCAGGAAATTTAGCCATTGCTACTAAGTTACATTTTCTATCGTATATCCGTTTTCTAAATTATAAAATCCTTTTTTATTTACATACACAATTACATTTTTATAATAACTTGTAGCTAAAAAAACTGTTTGGCTCCATTGTTCCCAAATATTTAGTAATGCACTTAGCACGTCTTACACTATATTGACACATTTGTCCTACAACTTCTCAGATTAAATAGATTTCGTGTTTTGCTACCAATATGATTTTACCTGCCACCAACGTGCCATTGCGCGGACCACCTTTTCCGAATCCATTCGAGATTCGCCCGATTTCCGGGTTCTTTAAAAACGCCTTATATAAGACGATCGCACAAACAACGCACTGTGCCAAATTTGATGACGCTTTGTTGGTGTAAAACACACTTTTTATGGTTTGTATATATTGGCTTATATATTTCACTTATTTATATCGGTTCTCATTAATTATCTTAGAGGCGCGTTCATATATATATATATTCTTGTTTTGATTTTTCCGCTTATTTTAGTGGCTGCCTCGGGGGCAATGGATTGTCTCGTGCGAACAGCTCGAGTCGACTGAAACGTTGGTCTCTTCGAAAAAACGTATTTTCATCTCGAATCTTGGCGAAAATTCTTCTATTGTGCATAAAACTTTTATTTTATCTGGCGCTTGTGTTGGCATTTCGTTGGATTGCCAGCAGATTACGCGCATCAGATGCAGTCGAATCTTTTGTTTTACGTCAGAAACAAATTGATTGCACACTTACAAACCAAAATTGTGTCCAGTGAGGAACCTGTTGAAAGGAGTTTTCAAATGAAGAATCATTTTTCCTTTCGCCCTTCATACGAATCAATAATCTTTATAATCAATATATGCCCCTGCATACGATAATCTAAAATCTAACTTGCATTGCCATATTAATTGCTAAACAATTGAAATCAATTTGAAGTGATTTCTTAAGTGAAACCACGCAGATATTACGCATACGCCACCGCACCTGAGTCGAACAAAGTCCGAGCGAGCAAATACTTCCGACAATGCGCCGGCTAAAATTAAATTGCTAAATGCATTTCGGTGCGTTTGCAATGCACTTGCCAAGTGCCGGCATCGAGAATCAAATCCACATTCATCGGGTATTCTCCGCCCGTAAATAGAATCTTGTCTCTAAACAGATGACAACAACATAAAGTCGCTCCTTATGAAACCGATTCCTTGATGGATGTGCAATCGAGCGTTTAAAATGTTATTAAAACGGAATGTCTAATAATAAAATAAATCACGTACATCTTAATGGCGTCAAGTGCATGCCAAAAGAAACCTGTCGCCGCATTCACACCCAAACAAGTCGAACAGTCGCCGGCGGAGCGAGCGAGAGGCCCATGGAGTGCGATAGAGATAGCAAGAGGGGGTCAGAACGATGCGGCAGACACACCCACCAAACACTGAAAAAATTCTTATTTTCTGGGAATTCTCTTTTCTTGGATAACTATTTTAATAAATGTTTAAAATGGTTTAAATTATACCGCTCAACCTTTTCAGTTTTATTGAGCATCCACGAGCTTTGGATTTTTATAATTATATTATATTTGTAAGTTCGCAAATTTGTAACCGTATTAAGGCACTTAATAAGTGTCGTAAAGTATTCTCCAAAACTTCTTCTAATTTTCGGATATTTTATAGAGACTTTTGTGTACATTTCGGTACATAATTTTTCCCCAGTGCACAAATAGGGGCGCTCATCAACATCATGTGCTAATTAGTTTGCATCGTTTGCTTTGCTCTGTTTACTTTGTTTGTGCAGCCGCCTTTCGCTGTTTTTCCGATGTCAAGTTCAGCGAGTGCCTTGTGCCATGTGCGTTTGTTTTGCATTCGGGAGGCCTGTTCCCAAGCACCTGCCCCCGATTTCCGAGCATCTTACCCACCCATGCACATGGGGAGCACGAGGGCTTTTATGTTCAAAGTTTCCGCCTACACGCCCACATTTCCCTTGGCTCTACTGGTGCCCGTGCCATCGCAGCTCACTCAGTCGATAGACAATTTCTTTTATTGACGCAATTCCCTTAATTTGCTCAAGTCCATTGCCCATGCGGTAATTAAAGCGATATTGCTGCGCGGTATTGTTTACCCTTGGCTTCCGCTTCTGTTTCAAGGTGTGCTGTGCATTTGAATGCTCCTAAATATAGACTATGAAAATGACCAGACCGCAATAAACTATCTCTTTAAGTGGCTTATGGGCTTACAGTTTGTCGTTGTTATTCGAAGAGTGTTCTTTGACAAGTTAAAAGTTCACTCTACGGTTAAAAAGTTGAAGTTATTTGCGGACAATTAAATAACTTATTTTGAGTTTTTAAAGTCATTTTATATTTTCCTTTATTTTGGTAGACGACTCGAAAATTACTTTACTTCCAAAGGATTTAAGGATCTTTGGATATTTATACACGACCAAATGGTGTTATTCCCTCCAACCCTGTCTACGTACAAAAATTTACCAAATTTATTAGTACCAATGTCTTGGGGTAGATGACGCAATACAATAGCGCCATCTAACGGATGACTTTGGAACAGCTGGACAAGGTGCTAATTCGAGCGGCGAAAAACATACAAGAAGGCATATTTATACTAAGTTGTTTAGCTGAGTAACGGGTATCTAATAGTCGAGGCACTCGACTATAGCTTTCTCTCTTGTTATACCCGTTACTCGTAGAGTAAAAGGGTATATTGTATTCGTGCAAAAGTATGTAACAGCTAGAAGGAAGCGTTTCCGACCCTATAAAGTATATATATTCTTGATCAGGGTCACTAGCCGAGTCAATATAGCCATGTCCGTCTGTCCGTCTGTCCGTCTGTCCGTCTGTCTGTCTGTCTGTCCGTATGAACGCTGAGATCTCGGAAACTATAAAAGCTAGAAGATTGGCATTTTGCATGTAGATTTTAGGAGTTCCTACGCAGCGCAAGTTTGTTTCAAAAAGGTGCCACGCCCCCTTTAACGCCCACAATCGCTTATATACGATTTTAAAAATTTAAATATTTCGGAAAAGTAAAAATGCAGTTTTATTGTGTTTATCAATACCTATCGAAATGTAGAAGAAATTTTTCATATCGGACCATTCGTTAAAAAGTTATGCGTGATCAAAGTTTCTATCTCCATCTCCCTCGCACTCCCTTTACCTGAGTAACGGGTATCTGATAGTCGGAGCACCCGACTATAGCGTTCTCTCTTGTTTTTTATATAACATCGAGTTTAAAACGAAAAAATTCGGTTGATTTTTCGGTATATGTTGACATATCTCTCATTTTGTCAAATGGAGAACAATTTTTGACTGTCAAAATTATAGTGCACCTGAACCCAGGGCCCTTGAGTAATATAAATTCAGACCGAACGCTGAAACACTTTTTATTCCTTTTCATTTTGTAATTATTGTCCTACCTTTTATTGAATTAAATTATATTTTTAAATTTGATTGAATTTATAATTATGCCAAATTTTGCCCCATTTCAGACAATGGCTTAAAAAATAAATCGAAAAATGGACCGGACTTCAATTCCTAAAAAGTTTAATCTAAAAAAATCTTGAAAAAATAAGTTGCCCATTTTAAATTATTACTAATAGCTATTATTATGTTAAACTGCGTATAATTTAAATGATTCATTTCTTAATACGTAGACAACTGTTTCTTAGTGTCTGCGCTTATCATATACAAGGGACTTAGGCTGACTAAAGGCTTTTCATAATTTAATTATATTTCCAAACAAGTGAAATGTTAATCATACATTAAAGGAAATGTTATCGCTTGCAATTGTACAAATCACATTTTACAGGATGTGGTCGGCCATGAAATGTCATAACATATCGATTTGTAAATATTATTATTTTGCCCTGCAGATTGCCCGGCAGTGCAGTGCAAGTCAGATAAACTCAGGCTAAATAAATATGCCAGCGAACATAAACATCAACAAGTGATTGGCACGCGACTGAAATTATGTATATTGTATTATATTGCTGCCACAATTATTGTTTTACTGCTTCGATTTGATAAAACGGTCGTACTGTAGAGCACATGCCGAAAAAATAACCGAATATTTTGTCCCTTATCACCAGGCTGGCTGCAAATGAATCATTTGGACGGCTGGAAATCGTTCTTAAAAAATCTGAAATAAAAGAGCCCAGCGTCACGCTCAAAGGTGGACAGTTAATTGGCCATTATCGAAAACAGTTTGTGGCTGCGTGAACCGCACGCCGATCGTAGCTGCTGCTCCCTCCAAGTCTTGGTAAGACCCCTCCATCTCCGATAACCGCTTTTCGGCCCCGTGCTCAATTACGGGTATACGACTTCCTAATGCCCCATCGAATCGTTTGGTAAGAGCCACTTCAGAGGCCTTGTCGAGTGGCAAGCGTAATCGATCGGCATAAATGTGACTAGTCAGTCCACTGTCAAGGGCGCGATAGCGCTGTGGGCCACCCCCCAAGTACAAAACTCTCGATCCTGCGGCCCTAAGCCAGCTCTAATCTTTGCTTTATGACCCCCGATAACCACCAAGTTAGCTTGACAACCTCCTATGCGGAACCGTAAACAAAACTGTTCAAGCTGATGCCTTTATAAATCTTGAGTTTGGCGTAAACTTCTTCAGAAGGAGGTGTATTTCGATTAGATATTTCTGCTTTCCACTTCGAAATTGTTTCGCAATTAGTACCTAATAAATTATTTCTTTGATTGAGGGCAAGATTGTGACAATAAATGCAAATTTAAGTGGCTAATTAAACAGGTAGCCCAATTTTATATACAGTAATTAAGTAATTGAGAACAAAGCTCACTAGAGCTCAAAAATAATGTTATTTCTGGAGGCTAACGACAAAAGTCCACACTTATTTTATATTTTTTCAGTCATAAATTTTGTGATTGAAATTTATAATAAAAAGGTAAGTACTTAACACGTCCCCGCAACATTACTAGTAGTTTTTATATTTATTTTCTAGGTGCTCTATTTTTTTTAAACAGCCTAACAAGAAATATACAACTAACAAGCTCCAAAGTTATACTATTTAAACTTTTCCTAAAATAATGTAGATTTTTAAATACATTTTTTATGCCCATAAAATGGGTTTTTCTTCCTCTTCTTTTCTTCCTAATCAAACATTAATTCTAGAATCTAAAAATTTCTGTGCTTAAAATTTGCTCTATATTTTGAAAATTGATATTTTCAACTTGAATGCTAGCACGCTTATTATAGACCATGTCGTTTGCATAGTAAACATAACTTTTGGAAACATTTTGTAGACTACACTAAAACCAAAAAAAGAAATTCGAAATTTAAATTTGCTTGTTTTTTAGGCACTAAAAGTAAAACTTTTGAAATACGCTAGTTCAATTACCTTCTTAACTTCCTCGGTAGCCACCATGATGAAAGTTATTCCTTTGAAATAACCACTACTAAAATATTCTTCCCGCCTTTGCGAGTTTATATATTAAGTTTATTTGATTTTATTTTATTATGATGGCACTTTGCTGATCAGTTACAATTTTGTGGAGGCTTTAACTATCGAAACGTGTGGATGGGCGCGATGAGCGTCCGGGCTGAACTGAATTTCTCCAAGGGAATCGCTTAGCAGCTAAGCGAAATTAGCGGCGACTGCGACGGCGACTGCGACGGCGACTGCGACTGCGACTGCGACTGCGACAGAGGCTGATACTAGAGGCTGATATCGCAGTGGCAGAGGCAGCCCGATATAAGTTCGATTCATGCACTGGATTTCCACTGGGAGCTTCGTAACCCTCAACGCTCATCATAAATGTACGGATCGGGAAGTGATTACTCAGGATTCCAGTAAGCGTCTAGTTAATTCTGACCTTGCTCAGGCGATTGTAAGCGGTGGTAACCGTCTGGTGGTCCTGGTAGCCTTGGAACTTATCGACGATTTTCCTCAGGCCCCGTTCCAGCGACGGGGAGCTGACCTTATGGAACACCTTCAGCACAAAGTCCACCAGGGCTTGGGCCAGATCCTAAAGGATGCAACATAAATAAATAAATATCAATCATTATTTGGATATTTTAAATAGAATAAAATAGACAATCGTACATTGTGCAGAAAAGAGCTGGGAAAAGCGATTATATGTGGAAAATATATAGTTTTTTAATAGTGTAGGATTTGAATTACTTGCTGTGTGCAGCAGTAACATATATGAAAACCACAAAAATAGCATAGTAGTCAAAATAAAGTATGTTAAGGTGAAACCCAGTGACACTTAATCCCATTTTTGTAAAAGGGTCAAAAGTCCATAACCCGCAACTAAATATTTGAATTTGCAAAGAAATTGCTAGCTTCAACAGCCTTGTCGACTTGTTTAGGTTTTAAGCGACTCCCTTCCGTCTTTATTTAAAATTTATTTAAGTTTTTACTATTTTTTATGGACTGATAAATAAGGACCAATGTTTTGAGAGATTTTTTTTTATTGTTGTGTAGTGACGTCAATGAAAAACTATTATTTTTACACCTATTTATTAAAATGATTCAACTGGATCAGAAAGGACATCTATTTGTCTACTGAATGAACTGGAAGTAAAAAAAATTATATATATCAAAAATCAATTTTTTATTTTTAACATAAAATGCCATACTTTATTTCAATTAATTAATTCTGAAAAAATGCTGCCGAAATTTTATTTTATAAAATCGTCTTAAATATGTAAACAATTACTCACCAACAGATAAAACTATCTTTTAAGCTCCAAAGGCTGTGCTGTCATATTCTCTGAATCATTTTATTAATACTTTTTTTAATCTACATAAATGATTACATTTTCTTCCAACTCGTTTTTGTATAAACATGATGCATGGTTAAATTCTTGTTGTCATTACTTATCATACATCTTTGACCGTCTTGAACTGAACGAAGACTCTTAATAACAGTCATTGAAACGTTTATTTTAAATTCATGGTACTATAATATCGAATTTGGTGATAGTACCCTTTAATAACCGTTTCTGGTAGATTAAAAGGGTATATTGTTTTCGTTGAAAAGTAAAAAACAGGTGAAGACTAGATAACGCCCAAAAATCGCAAAACTCTTTAGAGACCTCGTAGAGGCTTGTTATTGGGCGTAGATGTCAAAACCGTACTGAAAAACTTATAACCAGGGCTCTTGTATGCTTTCGATAAGGCAAAACAATGCTTTCAGTTCCAGTTTCTGTTTCGGTCACCATCTTAACCGAATAAAAGTAATAAAACTGGTTGGGCATCCTAATTTAAAAATTAAAGTCAAGAAAATGGGTTGCAAGGTCAAGTTTTTGTGGGATTTTTAAAATTCTTTTATTTGTTGGTGAAAACTTGTATTTGGAAAACTATTATTTAGAAAACTTTTATTTAAAAAAATTGTATTTCGAATTTTATCAAATTCAGAAACCCTGAGATGGCAAAGTTTTAGAAGTCCATTTCTGAAGCATTGAAAAAAGCTATTAATGACTTTTGAAAATAACTTTTGTTCAGATTTATTAAATGAAAATCAAAAACAACAATTTTTTGAGGAATATTGAATTTATAAAAATATATTTCTCCAATACTTCCCCTAGTAACAGGGTCGAAACGCTTGTTCCAAAAATACGAACCAGTTCCTTTGCCGTTCCACCTGAATTGACAGCACGCGCCCTATTGTTTGTTACTTTGACAACGGCCAACTGCCAAAACAACTAACCGAAAACCGAAAACTGCAGGCTGACTGACACTTGAGTGGACATAAAAGCCATAATCAAACGGGAAATACGCCGATTAATGAGAAACAGGTTATTAAAAAAGAGATCAATGAATTGATGGCGGAGGTGCACATAATTGGACAGATATCGAAAGCAGTTGACTTTGCCGAGCCGCACCTGTACTGCAAGTGGAGCCTGCAGAGCGGTAAGTCCGACGTGGCGAATGCACCTGCCGAGTCCAAAAACCCGAGTGTCCTCTCCTCCGCAGGAAACGCCTGGCGCTTGGTCCAGGGCGAGGTGCAGGGTCAGAGTCCCGTGGCATCGCACCGCCTGCAGCACTGCTCGGACTTCGCCCAGCCCCTGGACGTCCACCTGAGCTCCGCCTCCGTCCAAGGCTGGCCCCGTCTGCTGGTGGAGGTGTACGCCGTGAACGTCCTGCAGCAGTCCTGGCCCGTCGGCTACGGCTTCGTCCACGTCCCTTCCACTCCCGGATCGCATCGCCTGGAGATCAGCACCTGGAAGGTTGCGCCCAACGGCCTGTGGCAGTCGCTCCGGGAGCGCTTCGGAGGCGGGGGAGCGGCCCTCAGCAAGACGGATCTACTATACTCGGGAGTTGAGCGGTAAGTTCACTGCAGTGCATTTGAAAGGCAGCATACGAGAAAGGGTCAAACCACTGATCAAAATAAAAAGCATTTTATTTGTCATGGGCTTGGTGAATTAAAATCTGTCACCAAAATTCCCAATCAATTGTGGGAAAATGAATTTTTCATTCAATTATGAACCTCAAAAAAAGGCAAGCCGATTTTTATTTTTAAAATTTTTAAAAACTGTGATGTGCTGGTTATCGCGCAGTAGAGTCAATGTACCACCCTCCAAGGCAAAAGTTGTTTTATTGGAAATAAATATTTTTGTTGAATTTAGATTGAACAATTTTGTTTGCCTATATTGCCAACGAAATCTATTAAATCGCATTCTGGTAAATTTCTTGTCTTTTACAGTGTAGTTAATGGTTTCTTTTTAATGAGAGAAAAGAAAGACTGTAAAGTAAATATTATTGATCAGAAAGCCAAATGTTGAGATCACAGGTTATTTAAGAGCAGAAAAGTTTTTCTTTGGCACCCTAATTTTTAAAGGGGCAAAGGGACTTTCTGAAACCAGCAAATGTAGGCTTGGTTTTACTTCCTAAAGGTATTTTTCTTTTTCTTTTAGTTACAAGCTGCAAACCCTGAGTTCGGGAAAAGTCATCGTAGAACTGAATCTAATTTTTAGAAAGTTCGAGGAATACGGAGTGGAGTTCAAGTAGTCATGCGTGGGCTTTGGCTTCTACCCGTGCTGTTACTGGCCACTCACCAGACATGTTCCATTAAGATAGGAATTTCGCACAACTACAATAGCACTGAATCACCGATCCCGCCCACTACCACGGAATCCCCAGCTACTACTGCTTCTTCGAGCAGTGGAGCCAGCAGCTCTATTAGCCCATTGCCGGACGTGGCCAGCACTTCAGGAAACACATTTCCACCGCGAATGCAACAGAAACCCCGGGTCACAGCAGCACCACCAACCACTTCGCCGACTCCTCCAGCGGAAGCTCAGCTTTTGAATGCCACAGATGCGACTGACACTTTGCCGATACCCAGGAATACCCATAATCTCGACTACTGCTCCTGCGATCTGCAACCAGACGCATGTGATCTCAACTGCTGCTGTGACTCCGACTGCCCTCCCGAGACTCTTCAGGTGTTCAACTGCATGTCCGGTTCCTCCTTCCCGCAGCTGCAATCCCGATTGGAGGACTTCCAGTACACCCATGGCTTACCCTCCTGTCAGATCAACGACGGGTGGCTGTGCGTTTTCCGAAGCAATACAAAGCCGGCCAGGATTCGACCGCAGAACACGAATTTCGATAGTTCGCAGCGTTACAAATGGACGGACTACTTGGAAGCCTATGAATCGGACTCCGGACAGTCTCGGACATCCCCATCATCCTACTACAAGTTCGGACAGCCTTTGCAATTGTGGCAGGCCGAGTCCAGACAATTGACCACTTTCGAGTTGCCTGCCGCCTACGAGAGCTCCCATTGTCAGCTGAAGCAATCGATTATGCATCTGCAGCCCATCAGGAGCCGCTGCAAGATGAAGGACTCCTCCCAGCTGCAGGAGACCCTCTGGGGCATGCTGAATCTAACTTCCACATACCAACTACTGGGCAAGCCCCGCGATCCAGAGGAACAGGAAGTGGAGGGACTGGCCATACAGGTCTGTCAGAGAGGAGACGATATGGCATTCCATTGTTTGGAGCGAGGAAACGACACCCAACTGGATATTATAGTGGACAAAGTTGAACTTATTCTAATTCACAATTTCACAAATATTCTAGAGGCGAAGATTTTGTTGGAGGAGGAAAACGTGGCAGGCGATGACAACGACTCACTATGGCTGCACTGCATAGTTAGGTTCATCACCGTAAACGCTTCGCTGGCCAAGCCCACTTCGGGTCCACTGGGATACCTGCCTGGCTCCCCCCTGATCCTCTCCAGCATGTTGCCACAGAACAACAGCGAAGACGAACGGCAATTGAGCTATTTTAGTGCTAACCGAAATCTCGGGGATTTTCACTGGCTTCCCCTGCCTCCTCGGAAACTTCCAGGAAGCGGCTGCCAACGCTCACTGGACCACAAGAAGGTTCTGCGCTTCGGCGTGGACCTCCTCACCCGGTGTCAGCTGCACCAAGCGGCGCCCCTGCTCCAGAAGGACGCCAACCACACCGAGTACTGCCAGGGTCTGCAGGCCCAGATCTGGAGCCAGCTGTTGCCCCACGATGGCGGCCACCTGGATGACGTCGGCAAGGTGTTCGTCTCGCAGCTGGGCAGACCCGAGCGGGGCAAGTGGTTGCCCCTGCAACTGCGATACCCGGAGAACCCCAATGAGATGCCGCCACCAGTGCTGGCAGTCTTCAACGAGGCAACGCAGAGCCTAAGCTGTCGGAACATATTCCTAAGCGTTGCCTACGAGTTCCACGTGGCAGATCTGGCCTTGCTGGAGGGCAGAGCCCCTCATCAGCGGGTCCTGCAGAGCAGCCGCCTCGTTTTGGGCCAGCGGCACGACCTGGAGTTCGACAGCCAACTGGAGGTGGCCCTTCCCCTGGGCATCTCTGTCATGTTCTACAGGCTGCAGGGCAAGGCCACGAGTGGGTCAGCCGGAGTGGCTCTATATGCACTGCTACCTGCAATCTGGGGGTTTTATCTGGGGATCGCTGGATCTGGGCTCTAGGCTGAAAAATAATGCAAATAAGACGATTTGTAAAATAAAAGACACCCATGCTGAATCTGTGTAAAATTCGGTTCCTAAAAAACTTTCTATCTGAAATTGTTCGTCAATTTGCTCCTAATCAGTTGGTAAATAGTTGGTAATCAGTTGGTTTTTTCTTTTAAATGCCCTAATTTGCAATTTTTTCTTTTCGCCAATTTAATCACAATTCGTGGTTAAAAGGAACGAAAGTCAACATTTTAGGAACGATTTTAGACGGAATGGAAAATTTAACCTGTGAACATTTTCGGCTTGCATTACTAACACTAAGCACTTAATTAGATATCAATATGGTAGTTTAGACATTTTTTATTAACCTCATGTTCTTGGTTTCTTACAGTGGATGAGTTTGAAAAATTTGATTTATATTCTTTATCCAAATATATATGATTTATCGGATTGGATTATTATAGGCTGTTGAAGAAAGGGATTGAATCCATACATTCTCCTAGCTGAACATTTTTATAGAAAAGAAGAATAATTAGAAAATATATTTTTGGTAATATTTAACACTTATAACTTTTGTTGCAAGCCATTGCACTCTATTAACACAATTCCAAGTAAAAATAATATTAATGTGATGACAAATTATAAGAAAACATATTCATCTTCAATGTGAAACATTGTTTGTTTTGAAAATATGTACACTTTCGTCTTACACAATTGGCTGTGAGTCACGTCCTAGAACATTTTCCCAGAATATAACTCACCCCAATATAAGCGGATCCCACTTTGCAGCGGCTGTGGGTTAAGTTGTTTTCAGTAATCATCAGCTGAAACATTACTGGGTTCTCTTCATCGATTAGGAGCCCAAAAAAGTGGATAAACATCACCGCATGCATGTGCAGGGCCCTCAGGTTGAGGTCACCTCCAACCTTGAACTTATGAATGCCCCAATAGTACTCATTTAAGAAGCTATCGAATATTTGTTTTTTACATTACCACGATACAATGATAAACGTGTTACCTGTAGAACACATCCTGTCCATAGCGCCGCTCAAAGGGTTTGATCAAATTCCATGCCTGCCTGAGGGCCAATCTTTCGCTGAGCGTGAATCCCAAGTCGTCCTTAACAGGACCAACTTTTAACCGCGGTATCCGCTTCGGGTAGATAAGGCTTGCTATACTGGAGAGCTGCTTCGTAATTCTTTCGTTGCTCATTCTGAAATTTCGATTATTTTCTTGATATGTGTGGTGGAGTCATACAAAAAAAAAACGTTAACCAAACATAAATAAGGAGCACAACAAGTGTATGGTAAGCTAATAAAATAAATTTACAATTTAATTTTCATTTCACGTTCCGCAACCTTTTCCATAGCATACTAGGGGATTGGGAATATTTCTATCAGGTAACAATCTTCGTGATGCGATTTCCGGAATCGTCAAAAGTGGTCCTGAGGGCAGTCGACATGGCACGTTTTCTGGCCACATCCACAAGGGCATACTCCCCGACGATCTGCACCAATCGGGTCAGGGCGTTTGTTAGTGTACAGGAGTTATGATTTTCAATCACAGAGGACTGAAGAATGTATCTCTTTAGGGCAGTGGCCAGCATCTAGTCAATTTATAATTGGGGAATCAAGGAAATACATTTTATTAGAATTTTATTTATTATTGAGGAATCAAGGAAATACATTTTATTAGAATTTTATTTTACATTTTTCTATTTTAAGACAATTGTCGAAAAATTTCTGTAAGGTTTGGCGTAAGGAAGTTGACGTTATGACGAGTCACACTTTTAGAATAATGCTGTATTGGTTCGATCGGAACGAGTGATATACCTATCGAAAGGTATCGCTTTAACCAAGGGGATTGCATACCAAGACTTTAAGGAAACCAATTGGTTTAGAAGAAATAGTGTGTAAAATACTAATTTAATTTGGGGCAAAATGGCCTTCTTCAATAAAAAATGCCTATGTGGACAAAAAGCTTAAATTCTGTAAACAAACGGGACGAAGGAGAATATTTTAAAAAGTTTATTTATGTAATCGTATTTATTTAAAGATTTTTCGTAAAAAATATGATATCAACTATTTTGTATGTTGTAAGTGCGATCGTCACGATCTTTTTACCTCGTTAAGAGGTGTTTTTGTTAATATATTAACCATTCGATAAAGAGAAACAGAAATCTCTTTTATTTTATGGTTCATTTTATAATTTAAAACCTTAAAAACTGATTAGTTTGAAAAAAGTTTTGAGCTCTGGTTTATTACCTCCCAAGAAGTGAATTTGTGTCCACACAAATCGGGGCTTTGTGCCACTCACCCTCATGTAGTCGGGTTCGATGCCGTTCTTCAGATGTGTGGGAAGACTTTCGTCCAAGGCCAAGCGAAAATCCAAATTGTTATCCAATGTTTGGACCAGCCTCGACATCAGCCTCATCATTGCAAGCGAGTGACCATGAAGCTTGCTCAGGTTGATTTTGCCGTCTCGCCTAAAGAAGTTGATTAGGTCCTCGTGCTGGGTCAGGAAGCTGATCCAAACACACGGGTTGTGCGTAAGTTGGGACATGTGACTTTGATCAGTAAGTGCTACCTGTAGAAATTGTCCTTGCCAAATCGGCGCTGGAATGGCTCAATGAAACGCCAGGCGTTGCGCAGAGAAGCCTTCTCCACCGTTGTGAACTGGTTTTCATCGGGTCTGTAGCTTATGTCCCGTTCTGGCAGCGGCTTCGGATAAACCGGAAGATCCACATGGCGCTGCGGCTCCCCACCACTTCCCTCCGACTGAGCAGCTTGGCTAGTTTGGCTCATTTTGCTTTGTGTTTCCTCTATCTTTGTACGCCTTTCGATTAAGTTTTAAGTTTCCAACGCCATTCAGAACATTTGGGATGGTTGTACAGCTTACTGGGATCTAAACATTGTTTCGAAAGATCAGAACTAGAAATCATTTAAATGGACTTTTCATTGAAAAATACTGATAGATAATTTAATTCGTTAGTTTAAGACCCCATTAGACCATTACAAACTGTGGGCCAGGACAATTAATCCCTAGAAATTGAGATACACACCCACTTTATTTTAACCGTTAGAAATTGTGTCTTCGTCAAGCATTAATTTGGTAGTATTTTAGTTTTAACAAGAGAGAACGCTATAGTCGTAGCTTAATATAAATATGCCTTCTTGTGTTTTTTTTTTGTTTTTTATTTTTAACATAATGTGAATTATAGTGACCACAGGAAAAAAGGACAAAAAGTTCAAATTATCAATTTGAATTCGGCGATCTCTTAGTGCTGGCAGCTTTACAGCACGAGCATCAGCACCAGCGCTGCTTTAGCGCAGGCAGCTTTTGTCCTGCACCAGTAGCTGTGTTCATGTTTATGTTTTTGAGTGCAATACATTGACTAGAATATTAAACATACATACTTATATAGGCTAAACACATACATTCTTAAATAGTATTATGTATATTAAAGTATAAATGTTTGCTCAACACGAGTAACGGGTATAGCGAATAGCTTTCTTTGAAAAGAGTTATCTTTGCCGGGCAATTGCAACTGTGTACAATGTAAATACATACATATGTATATGCTTACATACATACACACATACGCCATTGTTTGACTCAGACCTCCAATTTGGCTAACTAGATTTGATTTGCATAGTTCTTGGGATATAGTTCGGTATTGACAAATGAAAACCATCGCAATTTCCTTCAATAGAAATCCTTATCGAAAATTAACGTTGACTCTGTTGAGCACCTTGGCCAGCTGTTCCAAAGTCATCCGTTAGATGGCGCCATGAAAGGCGGAAATGTAGGCGCTAGCCAGGCTTAAGCGTTTAATGGGTTTTTGGGCGTTAGAGTGGGCGTGGCAAACTTTTATTAGGCCAATCGATATTTATTGACGAAACAAATACATATCAATTAAAATTTGCATAATATCATCAAAACTGTGGCCACAGCTTGTGGCTTGTGGGCGTCAGAGGGGGCGTGGCACCATTTTGAAACAAACTTGCGCTGCGTAGGAACTCCTAAAATCTACATTCAAAATGCCAAAATTCTAGCTTTTATAGTTTCCGAGATCTCAGCGTTCATACGGACGGACAGACAGACGGACAGACAGACGGACAGACAGACAGACGGACAGACAGGCGGACAGACAGACGGACAGACAGACGGACAGACAGACGGACAGACAGACGGACAGACGGACATGGCTAGATCGACTCGGCTAGTGATCCTGAACAAGAATATATATACTTTATAGGGTCGGAAACGCTTCCTTCTACCTGTTAAATAATTTTGCACGAATACAATATACCCTTTTACTCTACGAGTAACGGGTATAAAAATGGTTTTAAGAATAGTATATATTAAGGTGGCATGAAGCGATAACGTAACCAAAGCTGTAATCTAATTAGTCCTTTCGCGAGTTCCTTCATGTTCAGCCATGCACTTACTCAAAGCCATACTCAAAGCCATACTCAAAGCCATACTCAAAGCCATACTCAAAGCCATACTCAAAGCCATACTCAAAGCCATACTCAAAGCCATATCTAGAAATCCCTAGGGTTTCCAAGTTTATTCACAATAAATCTATATAACAAAAGATTCATGGAAAGATTTGTAGGGAATTGCGGTATTCCTGGGGCACACCGCAAACGGGGCAAATGGAACGGATGCCAAGGGCGCGATGCAGACACGAGGCGCAAAAGACGTGGCCACAACTGGTGGCCCGCGGATTGTTCGCCGAGCGGAGGCAAATGGGACAACGCAGTAGACTTTCTGAGCAAACGAGCTCATTGGAGCTGGTTGAATGTTCTGGATCAGCTAAACAAAAAGATAGAACATTAAAATAACAACAATTTTAGACATTTCAAAACTGAACCCACCAGCAAAACCACTGGGCTGAATCTGAACACAGACGTTGGTTGAATGGCCATTGAACACGCTGCAAGAAATGGGTGTTTGACTAACGGTCAACTGACCACCTGAAAAACAAAAAATAATAATCAAAATCTACTATTTTATATTCTGACCACTCAGTTATTAAACTTTTTATAAATCAAAGCAGAAATATAACAACAAGAAATTACGCAATTTAATCTAATTATGATCTTATACACATTTAACTTTGTATCTATGTAGATATTCTCAGACAATCTTTCTGTAGTACCCACCAGCAGTTCCTATTGTAATTGGTGCTCCACGGGCTGGCGACACAGATATGCTGATGTTGATGTTGACCTCAACAGAAGGCGTAGACTGCTGATGATCAGAAGGCTCATTGGGCAATAATAGGTGATCGCTGCGATTGCGCAAATGGCCCAATTCCAATGATTCGGCGATATGAGCACCGCAAATTTCACACATGGAGCATCCGACATCTACAGAAGCGTCCGAGCCATTCTCCGAGTACTCGGACGGAGTTTCCGGCTCAGCTAAAAAAATTGAGATGTAAGTTTTTAATTATATTTATAACACCCACGGTACCTGCAACTTCGGCAGTCTCCTGGTTGGAGCCAAGTGGAATTAATCCAGCCCCTTGCTGTGAATCGTCCTTCCGGTTTTCACTCATATTTTTTTTTAATTATATGCTTCTCGGTCCTCTGCTTGTGAAATTCTGAGGTCCAATAAGGTTACATCTGACGTCTGTCACAATAGAAAAGGAAGAGTTACCAACAATAAATAGTTCAAAAATAAACAGCTTACCATTTTTAGGTATGAACCCTACATTATTTGTAGATGTGACAATTTTATTAACGAATATTTACATTATTAAATATGGTTTAAAAAACAAATCATATAATTTCTTCATTTAAAGCAAACAGGCGATAGGTCCGACTAAAATTCACCTTATATACTTTTCACCTTATAATGGTTCGATTCATTTGTGAAAGACTTTATTTTTGTAATTTTACATATTATAACGTTTCTTTTTTTGAGAAAAATATCAAAAAAACATAGTATATAAATCATAAGAGCTGACCTTCTTTGCCGTCTTTAACATTTTTTTTCGATCAAACTTTATATAATATTACATACAATGAAAGAAAATTTATAGGGCTCACAGAGCGATTCCAACATAAAACAAGGATCTTACAAATAAATGCGAGAATATTGATGCGTTGTTAGCTTTTTGTTACACAACGGGCACTTCTGCATCGAGCTTATGGCAGTTTGGATGCATTCCCGGCAGAAAACGTGTCCACATTTGGTTGTCACCGGCTCGCGCTTGGTCACACTGTCCATGCAGACCGGACACTTGTAGGAGTCCTCCTTCTGGGACAGCTCGAGATCGCGTTGGATGCGTTTGGGTGGCGACACATCGTCGACATCCACTACTAGAGGAGTTGCGGTGGACTGATTAAAGGTGCGGCGACGACTAGGAGCGCTATATGAAATGTCGGACGTGATGTTCACTGGACGACTTCTTGGTCCATCTGGAGTGCACAAGTCAATGACAGCGTCGGGAGCACGATTCCGGCCGGATCGCAACGGCGGTATAAACTCCAGATGGGACAGATCTATCATTTCCACTGGACTTACTAAAAACACAGAAATGAGTGTTTGTTAGGTTTAAGTTTAAATGTTTTAGAAATATAAATATTTTAACTATCTGTCTAACTCGTACCATTAGTATGACATTTTCACTAAAATAGGTAACCGCAACTACCAAAAATAAGTGTACAAAATTTAAACTTTTGCGTAAATAATACTAATAATAAAACACTTTTGATATACTAAAATTATTATATTGAATTAAAGCGTGAAAACCAGGATATGGTTTGGACTTGACTTGCGGTTACCACGCGATATTGTTACCGTTGAGGTAGACGTGGGTGTGTTGCTATTGCCCATCTGGGCCACAAACTTCTCGCAATTGTCTTAAATAGAAATTAATGTTAGAGATGTGTTTTAAGCACTAGCGCCCATTGGCGGAGAGTTCTCTAAGCTGCGAAGGTACATCGTCAATCGAGACGGAGGATACTGAGCTGGAGCTAGAATTGGAAGCAGCGCCTACTGAAGAATTAGAGACAGAGCCTGCGATAGAATTAGAGATAGAATCGGCTGTAGAATCCAAGCCAAAAATGAAGATAAAATTGGAAGTAGAGCTGGGTATTTATAGCACCCACGGTACCTGCAACTTCGGCAGTCTCCTGGTTGGAGCCAGCCCCTTGCTGTGAATCGTCCTTCCGGTTTTCACTCATATTTTTTTTAATTATATGCTTCTCGGTCCTCTGCTTGTGAAATTCTGAGGTCCAATAAGGTTACATCTGACGTCTGTCACAATAGAAAAGGAAGAGTTACCAACAATAAATAGTTCAAAAATAAACAGCTTACCATTTTTAGGTATGAACCCTACATTATTTGTAGATGTGACAATTTTATTAACGAATATTTATTTTATTAAATATGGTTTAAAAACAAATCATATAATTTCTTCATTTAAAGCAAACAGGCGATAGGTCCGCCTAAAATTCAACTTATACACTTTTCATCTTATAATGGTTCGATTCATTTGTGAAAGACTTTATTTTTGTAATCTTACATATTATTACGTTTCTATTTTTGAGAAAATTAATCAAAAAAACCTAGTATATAAATCACAAGAGCTGACCTTCTTTGCCGTCTTAAACATTTTTTTCAATCAAACTTTACATAATATTACATACAATGATAGGAAATTCAAAGGGCTCACAGAGCGATTCCAACATAAAATAAGTATCTTACAAATAAATGCGAAAATATTGACGCGCTGTTAGCTTTTTGTTACACATCGGGCACTTGTGCGTCGAGCTTATGGCAGTTTGGATGCATTCCCGGCAGAAAACGTGTCCACATTTGGTTGACACCGGCTCGCGCTTGGTCACACTGTCCATGCAGACCGGACACTTGTAGGAGTCCTCCTTTTGGGACAGCTCGAGATCGCGTTGGATGCGTTTGGGTGGCGACACATCGTCGACATCCACTACTAGAGGAGTTGCGGTGGACTGATTAAAGGTGCGGCGACGACTAGGAGCGCTATATGAAATGTCGGACGTGATGTTCACTGGACGACTTCTTGGTCCATCTGGAGTGCACAAGTCAATGACAGCGTCGGGAACACGATTCCGGGCGGATCGCAACGGCGGTATAAACTCCAGATGGGAAAGATCTATCACTTCCACTGGACTTACTAAAAACACAGGAATGAGTGTTTGTTAGACTGAAGTTTTAAGTTTAAATGTTTTAGAAATATAAATAGTTTAACTATCTAACTCGTACCAAAAGTATGAAATTTTTTTTTGTTTTGGGACATTTTCACTAAAATAGGTAACCGCAACTACCAAAGATAAGTGTACAAAATTTAAACTTTTGCGTAAATAATACTGATAATAAAACACTTTTGATATACTAAAATTATTATATTGAATTAAAGCGTGAAAACCAGGATATGGTTTGGACTTGACTTGCACTTACCGTCATTTCTGCGGCGGTTACCACGCACTATTGTTGGCGTTGAGGTAGACGTGGGTGTGTTGCTATTGCCCATCTGGGCCACAACCTCCTCGCAATACCGATTGACTTAAATAGAAATTAATGTTAGGGATGTGTTTTAAGCACTAGGGGCCAACGTTGACCTACTGCTATCCAATTCGGCTTCCATCTGGGTCACATTGGCGGAGAGTTCTCTAAGCTGCGAAGGTACATCGTCAATCGAGACGGACAAATTCGACGGAGAAGGGGATTCATCGTGGCTCATATTATATAGCCCCGATATGTGCACGCTAATATCGTTGTCCGAGGATACTGAGATGGAGCTAGAATTGAAGCCAGAGCTGGCGCTAGAATTGGAAGCAGCGCCTACTGAAGAATTAGAGACAGAGCCTGCGATAGAATTCGAGATAGAGTCGGCTGTAGAATCGAAGCCAGAGATAAAGATAGAATTGGAAGCAGAGCTGGCGGTAGAATTAGAGATAGAGCCGACGCTGGTTGCTTCGCTGATCGTCGCATATAGTGAAAATTCTGCGCTTGAGTCCTATTAAATAGAAAAAAGTTTATATGTAAATAACCTCATTGAAGGACTGGGAAATGACTTACTAATGAGCTTAAAACTCGATCTGACATTCTTCAAAATAAAACTGCACAGAAAATTGGTAAAGTAGCTTCAAAATGATAAAAAAAAAAGCAGATGTTACTAGATTTATGTCATCTGTTTTGGGATTATCAAAATAGTGGCCAATTTTCTGCACAATTTACGCGGCCAGAACGCTGATTTAGGGATGGAACTTGAAATCAATGCCGGTAAAAACAATAATGTATCGATAGGCGCAGTGTTTTTCCTTGTGTTTATCCTTTGGATTTATTAATCGGTTTTTATATACGCGGAGGCCAAAAAAATCTTTCTCCTCCGCGGACTGGAAGTAACTTAATACAAAAAAAATATTAATAGATCTGAGATATGTGGACTTCGGTGGCCAACTTTCAAAAACCGTTACAATCAGCACAGCAGTTTTCAGCTAAATTTAAAACGGCGGGCAATATATGGCTGACTGATAACAACAATTGAGTGCCATTCAAATAAAAGTCAATACACGTAACAGCTTTTCGCAACTCGAGTTATATAGTAAGGCCAAAGTGAACAGGATAATTGGGTTAAGAAATCGATATTAAACTTTTCTAAATACAACAGCTATCGTGCCACTTTTGCCTATCACCAATTTCCTATGCTAAACTCGTTGCAGTGTAAAGCATGCCTAACTTAATTTTAATTCGATAGTTTTTAGCCGAAATCGATATTAACCGTGTCGCGCTAGTGTTGGTCAATGCTCGGCACGTCACCAGAGCCAAGGAATATCAATTGTTTTTTTTAAACAAAACAAATACAATTCCCTGGTACCATGGACAAGGACACGTTCACGCTGCAGGCCATCCGGCAGGACCTGATCGACAACAACCTGCAGGCCAAGGCGATCATACAGGTGAGCGTTCAACCGCAGAAAAGAGAATCTAAATTCCGAGCTCTCCATTCCAGGACATCCTGAACAGTCGCACCTCAATCGCCGAACTGGAGGAGCTGAACGAAGCGGGACGCTCTAAGCTGTCGGCTATCAGGAGAAGCATCGAACGCCTGGACGACTGGGCTCGGGACACGGCAGACGCGGCGCTGACCAAGGAGGTGGACACCCACCGCGACCAGTTCTCAAAAACACTGCAGGCCTTCCGAAAAGCCAACGTATCCACGATGCTCGAGATCGAGAAGGCCAACCGCGAGGAGCTGATGGCCATTACCGGCGAGAGCGAGCTGCGCCAGCGATCGACGGCGCGGGCACGTCACAACCAGGGCAGCCTGGTATCCCAGGAGAACGATGTTACGGAGAAGATGCTGGCCATATCCCGGCATCTGTCGGAGACCACCCAGAAGAGTGCTGTCACTCTGGAGACGCTGGTGGCCTCGTCCCAGAACGTGGAGGCTACCAGCGACGAGTTGCAGAACACGGCCGGTAGCATAACTATGTCCGGCAAGCTGCTCAAGAAGTACGGACGACGCGAGTGCACCGACAAGATGCTGCTCTTCTTCGCCTTCTGCTTGTTCCTCGCCTGTGTCTTTTACATCGTCCAGAAGCGGCTCTTCTAGATCGCCGGGAGACGCTCCCCTTCCCTGCCTAGCTTAAGATTGTCGGTTTTGTTGCCTAGGAATTAGATATTTTAAGCTTAGCACATGACCGTAACTTGTAAGCACCGCTCCTCTTTAAAATATTTAGTGAATTATTCACGTTGTAAGCATGTATGTAAATGTGGTTTAAATCGTATAAAATACAGTGCAGGTTGATAAGGACACCAGGTTATATTTATTTGATATAATTTTCAAATAGTAAATTCAGATTTGATTATATAAAAGAATGCCTTATATTTAAATTAACTTTACAAACTATTGTGTAAAATATAGTCATATCTAGCCTAAAAACACTTGGGTACTCCGCCTGGGTTAGTGAATCCGTTTGCGTTAACCACTTGACAGATTTGTTTGTAGGATCGCTTAGGCTCTCGTTGTCTAACTTGATGATGTGGTCTGTAGCCGCTATCGTAGTTGCCAGAATAGGAAGGGGGCGCAGAAGCAGGTGGATAATTGTAGCCCGGGAATAGTTTGTAAAACCCAGACTGGCAGCTAAGCCCGTTTAGTGCCAGAAGCCACAGCAGCACGTAGTAGATCGACTTGCGCATGGCCACTCTGTCCAAGATTAAGATTCGGAATAACAACATAGACGATTTGCATTGGATTAAGCTGGCCTACTTATGACACATCCGCAACCTTGCACGAAGCGGGAAAGTAATTGGAATCTCAAATCTATTTTGATTTGCCCGAGAAGCTGATAGCAGATTTGAGTGCCTCGGTACAAGGCTGTTGATAAGAACAAACCATTCGACCTTGCAATTTTTAATTCATACATACATCTGTTAATTTTGTGTATTTTTTTTTCGAAGAACTAATAAGTATATTAACTATATAAATAATATATAAAATAGCCACTAAGAACGTATATCGAATGAGGGGATTTTAATTTAATTTTACTTCTATAAAATAATAATTTGTACTTTTTTTTTTTTGGGTAGTTCTAAAACTTTTTGTTAGCAATAGTATATCATAATCAGCCGTGCGGAATCCAGTATTCTCAAAGGTATTGGCACGTCCAAATCATCTTGGGCTTAAACAATGTTGATAGAAAGGTCTGCAAATACAAAAAGAAAACATATGTTTATCATTTTTTTTTCTGAGTAATACCAATTTCTTTTCGCATACAAGCTAATTTTTACTTTTATATTAACAATGAAATTGATCTAAAAAATGTATTATTATTATTTTTAATGATTTGAAAAATATTTAAAATGGTTTGCATTTCACATCAAATTAGAAGTTAATTCCATTCGAGGCCTATTTCTTAATTTTTTTATTTCTCTTATGTCATTCTTTAGAGTACAAAGCTTATACAAAAGTAGCCAATAATTTCATTACTTTTTTTCATCTAAATATTTTGAATACTAGAAATATTGAAACCCAATTCTATATATGCACTTGTTAAATATAATATTTTTGAACTCGACTAGAAACTAAAATTTCCGGCCGCATAATACATCGAATAAATCGATAGTTTAGTATTTTTGTGGTATACAGTTTTGCAGTGTCCAATACTAAAGATTAACCCAAGCCTTTAGCAGCACTGGCCGTGTTTTTTAAGTTAAAAACATCAAATTAACAATTTTGTCCTGCTGTTGTCGCTGCATTTACTGTTTAAAACAAAATGAGCACCGCTGTAGATGTGGCCAGCAAGGCTACAGGGAAGTTGGCCAACTACTTTGCGTTGCAGACGGCGTTTGAGGTAAGAAATGGTGCAATGGCGAGCTCCAAAACCGGCAATGAAAGGTTCTGAAATGTTAAATTATAGAAAGCCCTGGAACTAGCCATCACCGACGGAAATGTAGATCTGCTGGTCAAGGAGTACAACAGCTTCACTGCCAACACGGAACATGATAAGCGCCTGCCCATGGACCACGCGTTCCGGGTACTACTAATGAAACGGCTGGAAGACGATGTGCAGCGCATTGGCGACTTGGTGCGCCTCTCCGTGGATGCCACGCGGGCCGAGATCGTGTCCAACACCATTCCCGTGGTGCTGCTCATCGACACCTTCGACGTGGTAACGCTGGACAAGTGCCAAGAGATCTTCCGGTTCGTCGAGGAACTGGTAGAAGTGTGGAAGGAGGAGATATTCTTCGCCTCGTGCAAGAACAACATTCTGCGCATGTGCAACGACCTGCTGCGTCGCCTTTCTCGCACCCAGAACACCGTCTTCTGCGGGCGCATTTTGCTCTTCCTTTCCAAGTTCTTCCCCTTCTCAGAGCGTTCTGGCCTTAACATTGTGTCCGAGTTCAACTTGGACAACTTCACGGAGTACGGGCTGGACAGCAAAGACCATGACGAAAGCGACAACAAGGAGCTCGAGGACACCGCTGAGGATATCCCCCTTAAGATCGACTACGACCTATACTGCAAGTTCTGGTCGCTGCAGGACTTTTTTCGAAATCCCAATCAGTGCTACAACAAGCCGCAGTGGAAGATGTTCCAGATGGTGAGTATCTTTAATAAACTTAATTTAATAATTTATTTATACTTTTTATTCAGCACGCCGAAAATATACTGCAGTCCTTTTCGAGCTTTAAGCTGGAGGACGTGCGGCAGAGTGGCAGCGACAATGCCAGTGAGGCCGGCCAAGCAATGGAGGTGGACGAAGAGGCTGTTGATGCCGCGGCCGTGACCGCCGTGATCAAGGCGAATCACTTTTTCGCCAAATTTCTAACCAATCCAAAGCTACTGGCACTACAGCTCTCTGACGCTAATTTCCGACGCGCTGTCCTGGTGCAATTTCTGATCCTCTTTCAGTACCTTCAAGTCAGTGTAAAGTTTAAAATGTGAGTAATAAAATCAACCCAAAATAATTAAAATTAAATGATATGCCTGTACTTTTAGTGATATTTACACCTTAACCGCAGACCAGGCGGACTTTATCAAGGAAACAGAGTCTCGTGTATATAAATTGCTAGAGGAGACACCGCCATACGGCAAGCGTTTTGCTCGAACTGTACACCACATGCTGGTGCGCGAGGAGATGTGGAATAACTGGAAGAACGAGGGCTGCAAGGAGTTCAAAAAGCCGGAGGAGCCAACCCCCAACGAGGAGGACATAAAGCCACCACCGACTAAGAGACCAAGACGTCCATTGGGCGATGCGCTGCGGGATGCTGCTCGCAATGGCAAGTTCTTTTTGGGAAAGTAAGTTCTCATGAGTCAAACACAAATCAGATTCTTACTGTAATACCTTTTTAGTGATAATCTAACCCGTTTGTGGAACTACTCCCCGGACAACCTGCAGGCCTGCAAGAGCGAGCAGCGCAACTTCTTGCCGCTGTTAGAGACATACTTGGAGACGCCGCATGAGAAGATCGACCCCGCCTTTGAATGGCGAGCACTACGTTTGCTAGCCCGCCAGACACCACACTTCTTTACTTCGCTCTCTCAACCATCGAGCAAGATCTCCGATTATCTGGAGCAGGTGCGGAAGCGTCTGATCCGGGACAAGGAGCCCAAGCCTACAGCTCTGTTATCGAGCATCTCTTCGGAGAACAATTTTGGCCTGACAGTAAACCATGCTCATGCGGAGGGCGATCAGGATGCTACAGTGGCTCTCCAAGACGCTGAACCAGAGCAGGATCTCGAAGTAGAGGACAACGAGCCAGTGGTGGAAGAGGTGGATGAAGTGCCAGCCCACGAGAAGCCACTTATGGTTACCAAAGAGCACATCCAAGAGGTGGCGCCCTTGATAGGCGAGCCCTGGATGAAGGTGGGCAAAAAGATTGGGTTCACCAACGACGAGCTGCTCTTCTTCCAAATGGAGCACTCTGCGGCCAACGTGGCCTGCGTCCAAATGCTGACCAACTGGATCTCTGATGACGATGACGCGACTTTGGACAACTGGGCGTACATGCTCGAAGGATTAGAGATGAACAAGGCTGCCGAAGCGGTAAAGGCCATAATTGAACGCGAAAAGTCTGGATCTACTGCCGTGCCAGCCGTACCTTCTGCATCCGATAACGACGTGGAGGTGCTGTCCGACTAGCATCCCCATACGCGACCCACCCTAGTTATAGGCCACTTTAGATTCGTTCCAATCATCAAACTTCTTTATCACAAGTAAAAGTATGGGCACGTTCACTGTTATCAACCAGAGATCAGCGATTATCGAGTCCCAAACACCACTCAACGCTTTTTCGGCGGGGGGCCGTTCCGGGGTTTATTATGCACCATGTTGACGCACTTGGGGATGTGCCGCTCGGCGGCCTGTTGGTTGAATCGACGTCCACAGTGCGGGCACTGGATGTAGTCGGGATTCTCTGAAGGCGGCGGCGGGGGCAGGTCGCTCAGTTTTCCGCCGCGCGCCAAGTGTAACTGAACCTGTTTGGCGGCCCGTATCGACTGGATGAACTCCTCGTGCTTTTGGCGCCAGTTGTTCTTCTTCACCCCGGTGGTCAGACCCTTCTGCTGGGCAGCACTAGTGTACGTGGATTTCGAGCGGTTTCCCTTCGACTTCTTGTTGAAACTCTCGGCTTCGGTGCCCACGACGCGCTGCTTGGAGGCGTCGAAGATCTTGCGTTTGGTGCTCACCATGCGCTGGCACACCGCCTCATGCTTCTGCAACCGATCCGTGTTGAAGTGGCGTCCGCAGAACCGGCACAAGGCGGTGCCCTCCGGGGCTGTCGACGTGGTAGTCTGGAAATAAGGGACAACTTCAGTTCATCTCTGCTCCTCACTACTGGACTGCGATACTCACCATGTTGACCTTTTTCACTGGGGATTTAGGCTCTGACTAAACCGGAATACGGTTTTACAAAGGTTCAAAAGTGAGTGACAAAGCGAAACCATGTTGATTTAACTTACCCGTCGAGTCGTTGGTGGAGAAAGGCGAATGGCTTGCGGGGTTGCGCCCCCGGGTAACCGACTTGATGTCGGCATCCTGGGACTGCGCAGCGGCGAGGACACGGATCGTTGGGGGAGCGATGCATCCTGGGCAGGCGGCGTCTTCCGGGTGACCACAGGCTTCAGGTTTCGATTCACACCGCGCGGTGTGGCGAACTTGTTGTTGTTGCTGTCGCTGGTGATGCGCCTGCTCGCGTTGGGCGGCTCCCTCAGGTTCATGTCGGACACGCCCTTGATGAGCCGCTGCATCGGTTGCTGGGGGCGGGTTTTCGCTGGGGCGGGGGGCGAGGGCAGGGTTCCAATCGGCTTGAGGGGATTGCTGCGGTCTATGCCCGCTCCTCGACGACGCTCATCGAACATCTGACGCACTTTTCCATTGCCGATCACCCTGGTGGAGGCGGCACTAGGCGCTGCTGTGGCCAGGTTCTCGACACTCGTCTTCGTCCCTAAAAGCTCCCGACGTCGCACCTCCTGCTCCTGCTGTGTCCGCTGCTGAAAACGCATCTGGTGGTGGAATTACAATATTAACATTTTATTAAAATAAAAAAAATTTATTTTAATGTTCATATTATTATTATCATCTTCTACTTTATCTTTCTCTAAAAATAATCAAAATACAGTTCTACTTGTGGATTTTTCAAACTTAAATGATAACTACATATGTATGTATATTCAATTTTCCTTTGCAGGGATTATAAAATTGTTACGATTTTAGGACCTAAACATTAAAAAGTTTCACAAATTTCTTTGGGTCTATTTATTTAACTATGTATGTATGTATATAAGTTTCTCCAATTTTTTGGACCTATTTATTTACCTATATACATATGTATGTATTTAATTGAATCTTTGCAAAGCATTTCTTACTCAAATTATTTTTTTTTCTTTGATTTTTAATATTAAATATTAATTTGATACAATATTCTCGCAATTGCCTTACTGGAGCAGAGTTACTGTTGCCATTGCCACTGGGTGGCAGGTGACTCAGTGCCTCCATGAGGCGCCTGGCCGCCCAGGACTCGTTAAGCTTCAGGGGCAGAATGTGATCCTGGCCGAGCTCCGACTGCAAGTCGTACTGGAGGTAGTCTCCGTCCTCGTCCCCGTCCGCCGAATGCAACATTCCGGGCCGGAGAGCGCGTGTCAACTGAGCGACCGGGAACTGGACATTAGCGCGCCCATTTCCCCCGAGTGGAGTCATTAGGTGCACAGGTTTCGGTGTGTGTTTGTGCTTTGTTTGCTTGTCTATTCTGGCGATGAGGAGGTGTCACACCCCTCACACCACCACCGACCCCTGCGAATAAATCCGTGCCCACTTACGTGCCGCCAGTACATAAAACCCCTTGCCACACCACCCGCCTGGGCAAAGGAAACCTTATCCCGACCCCGGGAATGGGTAGCAGGCGCCGGTGTGAGTGTGGGTGTGGACGTGGTTGTGGGCATGCTCCTCCCATTCATGTCCCTCGAAGGACCTCCTCCTAGTGCGCTTGTCTTCTGTCTCTGGTGTCCTGGTAGTGGCCTTCGAACTCAGCCATGGCCACCTGGCAAGTCGTCAAAGCAAAAAAAAAAATGCAAGTCCTTTCTGTATATCGGACACTCGAGAAATCCTAGCTGGCTGTCCTTTTGTTTAGCCAGGCGATTGTTTTTGTTGTTATTGGCATGCAGCAATAACAACAAAAAATCAATGACTGCAACGTTGCCATGACACGGGCCACATGGGATACACACACCCGCCACCGACCCACCCACCCTAGGGCTCAGCAATTGTTGAATGCCGCCAAGGAAGAGCGACGAACAGGTGACAAAGGACCTCAGCATTGTCCTTTACCCGCCCGCCCTTTCAACGATAAAATCGCGCTCAACTATTTTACTGGGTACATTTTTCGATTGATGAATTATTATAGTTCGGTGAATAGGCACTTAAAGAAAAATATGAAGCCAACAAATAAAATAAATTTTGAAAACTATACTATCATTCTAAACCCGAAAGTATTCTAGACTATTACAAACATGTCCATAATATATTTCAAAATATACATTATTTGTTAATATATTAAAATTTGTTATACCAATGCAGAGGGTATTATTATACTTTCAATTACAAGTTTGCAATGCAGTAAAGTGCACATTTCCGTATGAAGTGTATCAATTCTTGATCAGCATAACCAGTCATATTCGTCTGTCCGCCTGTCCGTTTCTAACTAAACAAACCAGATCGTCCCACTATAGCTGCCAAATCGACCTAGCTTCATTATTTTCAAGCATAAAAAAGGGTACTTCCCTTCTATCTTTGTATTAAGTTTAAGTCGATTTAAATGTACCTTTTCTAATTTATCGCATTTCTTTACCCCTTGAAATTGTCTAACATTATTGCCAATGTTTACTAAGTAGAATAAAAATCTGATGCATCCTTAAATTGAATTCGAGTAAAGCGTTCGAAAGTGAAAACCAGAAGAGGGCTGATAGTTTTAACTTTAAAATATTAATATATTATTATTAATTATCTATATATTCAAAACTTTAGCTTGGACTATAGTAAAATTTACATGCTAACATTACTTTCTCAGATTTCTCCCAGTGCACACGTGCATGTTTGCGTTCTAAATGTCAACCCTTTTTGGATATTGAGTGGCTAATACAGTGACGTAGTTTGGCTAACACTAATTACGGCTAATTGAAGGGAATACGTTGTACCCCATCTGCACTTTCGACGCCCCTGTTCGCCGCAAACAGATGGCCGTCAAGGAGCGCCTTTTGTTTCATTGTGGGGGCGACCAAAGTTCCCATTACCAAATTTGAGCAACGGCAAATACAAATTAATTAGCTGGCAGTTCGCTGGGAAACTTCAGCGAGAGAACCCGAAATAGAACTCCATCAAAAGCATCGGGCCATTTATGGTACATCACGGAAATTAAAGTAGATATCTGGCTTATGTTGGAGCTACTTTTAGCAAAATAAATGTCGGTCTTGCAGAAGTAAAAAATTGTAACTGCACTGCACACATTCTTCAAGTTATTCTAATTTCCAAAAGTTTTTGTATTTCTTCAAGATGTGTACTTTTGGAAGCCTATCAGCACTAATAAATTTTTTATCAAGAGAACTGGTTTATGACTATCAACGTATGCTTAAACAAAATATATATTAATTGTACTTAAAAATAATGATTCTTTTGAAATCGGCGCACTTTTTCTGTTTCATTCTAAATCTCACCTGCATCTGCGCCAGCCTTGAAGTCTTCGTCTCTCCGGAACCTATTGACGCCATCGCCTAATAGAGTCTATTCAATTTCAGTCGGTTGAATTCGATGCGATTCGATGCGATGTTCGTGTGTGGGCTCCGGCCAAGGTGATGACGCGACCGAGCTTGGCTCAAAGTGTTTGGTTACCACAGACCCGGCTCAGACTCTCGGGTGAGTCACGCGATTTGGCACAAAGTAAACACAAACGGCAGCAGCAACAGGCCGATAAATGTCGCCAGGAGGCGTCAGTGGATGGACGTGGGTGTCGATCTGGAAGTGGAAGTGGATGTGGAAGCCGTTAAAACCGTGCCCAGATCAAGTCCCAGACCCAGACCCAGACTGACAATTGTGGGACGACGGCCACTCCTAATAAGGTGCGATCAATGAACAAACCAATCCAATTGAATTCACTTTGACTCGCCAAAAACGTATAAACTTTGATGAAAGCAAACGGTTATCTCTTCGTGTATTTATAAAACTACAAATCTGAACCGAAAAAAAAACTCGAAAAGGTAAGACCGCACGTTTGAAATTTATCAGTAGATCTTAAACACACAATATGCTGCCGAAAATCTGAAATGCTTTCATACGATGAAATGGAATTTTGCCTCACTGACAACTCAACAAAGACAGAGAAACCCAACTGACTGGATAGTCAGGGGAGTTTGTACTTTTGTGGGTATCCGACTTAATATATGCAGTGTCTATTTAAATGTTAATGTTTCTTGTAGATATTTTGCCAATTTCCTAATAAAAACTTAGAACATCCGCTTTCTTTAGTTAAATGTTTAAATATTTATAAAAAACATAGAATTGCTATAAAAATAAAATAATTTTATTGAAAAGAATAGCATTATTTTATTCTTTTACAAATAGACTGGTCTTGACAGTATCCAGACATATAAACAGAAAAAGACTAAAAAGATTGCACCCATCTGACAACTGGATACTAACCCATATTTTATGTGTAAAGATGAATATAGTTACACGCAGTTCCCAACGAAAAACAATTATAATTATGACCAAGTTTGAATAGGTGTGTTAAGTAGTTTATGTTAATATTGACATTATTGCATAAAAATACAATAAATACAAATGTTTATTTGTAAGATATTTGTATTAGTAGTTTAAATAAAAACTTTCGCATATAACTCTTTAAAATTCTTTTCTCTGACATAAGCTTATATTTTTATCAGTTCTTTGTCTGAGTCTAGGGTGTACAATAACTACTTTGCCCCCACTTCTTGTCGCTCCGCTCCCTAACAATACCATTAATTTATGTATTTTTCGGCTTTTTGGCACACGTCGTTTCTCGCTGACTAATTCCAACTCTCCGCCGGCATTGTTTGTGTTTGGAGCTGCGATTTGCATACACTGCCGAAATGAACTTACCCGTTTTATGGAGAAATACCTCCAGACTGGAGCGGTTGGGAGTGGGCGCTGTTGACCTGGGAGGCGGGTTGTGGGGAGTGGACACTGGGCACGCGAGTTTATTGACACACAAAGGAGGCACTCAAACGAGGATTGAACTTTAGAGCCGGACCTCGAAGTGGGTCACCGAAGGATAGGTGGCGGCTCCTCTGTGGGCAACTGGCCAGCTGTTGATGGACTGTAATTACGCATACGCCGCGTGTGTCTCGAGGACTTAGGTCTACGATTTGGTATTCCGTTTTCTGTTTTCGAGGAGCCTCGCGCTGTCGACTGTTTGCTTAGAAGTTTGCGCGCTGACTGAGACAAGATTCCATTCCGCCGCCGATTCCGATTCCGAATCCAAATCCCCAAGCCACACACCACACCGATGACCGGCCCGAACAAGTTGCGAAGTTGGCGACATCGAGCGTTGCACCGCCAACTGATCTGCGGATGATGGCGTGTCGGGTGAGTCAAGTTATCGGGTAAGACCCCTCTATATCGCCCCTTCCCAGAAACCCAGCACACGTACACATATGTGCGTGCACCCGAAGAGAAACATGTATTTATCGCTCAATGGCTGTTTTTTTTTTCTTTCTCTCAGATGTTGTTGCTAAACTTTATTTGCTTTTGTTTTACATTTATCAACGCTGACGCTTCGCAGATGTTTTCCGCCTTCTACTCTTCATCAACCCCTTTTGAAGTCATCGAATCAAAACTTGGATAAGGTTTTAGCGATTCCATTGCCAAATAGTAATAAATCATAATTGAGCGCGGTTTGGTGGCACTTAAAAATATTCTTAATAATACAATAATCATTTTCAATATTTTTGAGCTTAATAAAATTAAATATAGGTCATCCGAAACTCCTAAAAATAAATCAATTTATCCAAAATAATAATATTTATCTCTAACAAATATAAATAATATATTTTATTATTTTGCGATGAATTATTTATGGGATATCACTAGTTAATACACTAACAGATTGTACCCTTTCAGTAAATAAATGAACTATTTTCATATGATTTTGGTTCTCAAAAAAGCAAAATTTGAGCAGAAAAGATTTTTTTTCATTTGGAGTACAATTTAATTTAGCGAGAGCCAAATTATATTTGAGTAGGGCATTTGAGCTTTGCTAGTTGCTCGTTGGCTGATTCATTTGATGACTTCTTTGCTATTCGCTTAGCGTCCATTTGCTCATCGTTTTCATAATAATTATTCGTACATTGTTCGCTTGTTTTGGGCTGCGGTTTTGAAACCATTTGAGAGCGTACTCGGCTCCTCTCTTAACTTGTTAAGTTGGCCAGGAGAGTGGCAGCACTTGCTCTTGGCTCTTGGCTCTGGGCTCTCGGCTTGAGTTGGTTGAACCTGAGCCTGCCACACGAAAAGATCTTTGGGTTTCTGGCCGATGGCTTCCTGGGTTGGCTCTAGATTTTTAATTTCCTCCAACTTGGCGGCGTCTGGCGAGTGAACGTCTACAAAATATATTTATAGACACATACACATCTATAGAATTACGTAGTTACTTCGCTAATTACTGTTCGGGGGGAAACTCGAGGGATTTGGAAGAGTCTTTGGCAAGGCTGCGCGCCGGATTCGGAAGGCCCGAATCGGCTAGTGGATTAAAACTTCTTGACATTTGGGGTTGGTTCGAGTTCTAAGCCTCGTCTGAGGATTTTCACACCAATGTATATACGTGGGTACGGGTACTATGCACACCTATGTAATGTATATATGCTAGCTTGTATAATTTGTATAATCTTCTGCGTGGGTCGATGAGTGCCGCCCTGCTAAACTGCTTAACTGCTTAACCGCTTCCTGCGCTCTCTGGTTCCCAAAAACAGCTAATTCCGAACGCCGTCGGATTACAACTTGAATACGTTTAACAATGACACGGCAATTTCAACATCAACATCAACGACACTGATAACAAACAACGCGAACTTACTAGCCTAATGTGAGTTGCAGCTGGGACCGCCGGGGCGTATACGCAACGCCTGCCAAGATGGCCGGATGGAAGCCTGCTTCCGCTTCCGGTTACTCGTCGCCCGCTCCCTTGGGCTGCCCCTCTCACGGATCATTTCACAACGACCTGCCACCGATTTCCGCTCGGTCGCTGGTTCTACAATTTCATAATTTGGTTACATCAAATGCGGCTTACACGCGATGCCACGCTACCTAAGGTACTATTCACAGTTCAGCCGCCCGCTGAAAATGCGCAGCACAATAAAAACGGGTGTGCGAGTATCTCGCTCGATTCGCGCTCGCTATACACTTATAAGTGGGTGTCTGTATACACTATATATGGTTGTTCAGCTAACATCGGAAATGCAGTTTAAGTGTACAATTATACTACAAAAATTTGCCTCTAAAGTATACTTTTGTTTTACATTTGCTTATTTCGGTTTTAAAACATCAATGTTCATGTTTTTGTTTTTCATTTTCATTTTTCTTTTTCTCTTTGTATTTGTATTTGTATTTAGTTTCGGTTTCGTTAGCGATTTCGGTGTTCTTAATAAAGTTTACAAAAATACTTCTCGGTTCAACTGAATAGCGTGGGGGATTGACACTTAATTGAAGCTTGGCCCAACTCGAGCCCTCAATCGAATCGCATCGTGTGTGTTTTGTTTCCATTTGTTTAGATTAGTTGAGTTCACGGAGCCCACAAGGACCCCGTGCTGGACGTGCTAAGACTATGCCACACAAGCTATCGCCGGTCCTTTGTTGCTGCCGACCCAAGGCTTAAACAATTTACATACATTATTTAATCCTGTTTTCCTACATGCGTATGCGTGATTGTCCAAGGTTGATTTTACTTTTACGTTTATTTTCGTTTTTCATTAGGTTTTTAGTTTGGTTTTCGCATTTTCGACTCGATTTTATACTCGCTCGCTAACAAATTTCGATTTCGATTTCGATTTATTCGGGCTAGGCTTCAGACTAAAACATTGTGGTGAGGATATCCTTAAATATGTTCCTAAACATCGCTCCGCACATCGCTCTGTGTCTAGAACTAAAAGCCAACATTCAATGCGCTCTAATTTAACGTCTAAACGACAATTGCTTAAGTCTTTTAGTCTACATTTCAATTACGTTACGTGGCGGGTTCTATACGAGTATGTATGTGTTTCCGCGTTGCCCGACTAGCTCCTGCTCCTGCTAATGCTCCTGCTAATGCTCCCGACTATATAGTGGCTATGGGTATTACATATGGGGCTGGTAGCGAGTGGTGGGTGTTGGGGTGTGATAGCTAAGGCTGCGGGCTCAGGTTTAAGGGTTTCGATTCGTGTAGCTTTGCTCTTGGTTATTGTTGTACATAAGTATAGTAATATATAAGTATACACGCGCGTACAAGGACATGCAACAGATGCGTAGGGACTTGGTGAGTCCTGTTACCCGTATTTTACATAATATTTCGCGATTCTATATTCTAGCTCTATGCATATTCGCGGCATGCAACATTTTGAAAACCTGCACAATCTTACGGTTCATACATTTATCGTACATATCGTAATATATAACTAAACGGGCGCTCCGACTTAGCCTAGTTACTATATATGCCTAATCGTACAGTTACAGTTACAGTTACAGTTACAGTTTTCTCAAGGTGTCCGTAGCGGCGTTTCCCTTCCTCACATATTGTGGCGAAAGTTCCTCAAAATCAAATTCAAAATCGAATCGATGTGGGATGAATGTGAGCAGTGTTACCTTTCATTCGGTTCTGCCATGCAATGCCTGTGATTTCGAATGTGTTCTTAACTGCTAATTACTCGTACATGTGTATACACGTCTTTGGCTTTATACTCTGTGATTTTTCCTGGGTTGCTAACTTGTTTTTTGTGGTTTCGCTTGATTTTTTTGTTTTATAAACTTTACATCAGTACGGGTGGGTATGTCGATCTGAGTGAGTTAGTTTCGTAAACTAAACTGACATTTGGATGCCATGCCTTAAGTGCTAACACTAACACTAGGGGTTGTGGTTGTGGTTGTGTGTGGGCTGTGTGTGTGTGTTGCGGGTGAATGCGTTTTATTACGACTAGAGTTCGTTTTTACCTCTTTTAATTACTTGTTATTTACCTGGTTGTCCTGTTTACTGTCATTTCTGTTTAACATGCTATATAAAAATTGCTATGCTCCACTTTAAAATTCTGCGTTGGATTTTCCGCATTTGTTTTTGCCTTTACACAATTATATTAAACTTGTATCGATTTTTCGACTTGCTTAATTTAAGCGCGCTGTATCTGTATAAATGTTTCAAAAATTTGCACACAAAAATGGGTTTTTGCGGGGGGACGCTTGGGTTTCGGGGTTTTTCGGGCTTTGGGTTTGCGGTTAAATACTATCGATTTCAAAAATTCTAGAAAATCATGGCAAAACAATTTGGAAAGTGTTTCCATTACAAATTGCATCAATATAAATTTCAAAAGTCTCAAAATACACAAAAGTATTTCAATCTCTTGCGGTTGTTTTTCTCGTTTTTAATTTTATATGTCGTTTCGTCTCGTCTGCGTTATTTATTGTAATTTGTTCGCTTGTCGAGTGCAAAAATATGTTGTAGCCTACTTATATGCGCGATGCAAAAATATTTTCGCATTTCAAATGCTTGTGGTTGCAACTGCGACTGCGATGGCTGAATGCGGTTTGGGGGTGCTGTGGTGGGTGGGTTGTGGGTTGGAGGTTGGCGAGTGTGCGGCTTAACATATATACATATATTGGTGGATAAATAGACACACGTGTATCTGCCAGATAGTTGAAAGGCAACTACAGCGGCGGTCACAATAGTTGTGGCATCAAAATAACTTTTTGTACAAATTTTAAAACATCGTTGCAGTCAATTTTGTTTTCAAAAAAGGTACATCTGGTATCGGGCACCCTTTATGTTGTTTAGTTTCGTAATATTTGAAATCCGATTTTCTCACATAAATATTTGAAAAAGTGTCTTTAAGTATCCCCGTAACTGACTGGTATTTTTTAACTCACAATTTCATCATATAAAATTTAAACTTTTAGAGCAAACTTGACTTTTAATTTCCGGAATTCTCTTCAGACATTTCTTCGTTATGTGCTCGTCAACTTTATAGACAGCAAGCTTGCTTAAAAAGGTAATCATTTGCAGAACTCACATCGTACAATGTTGCAAGATGTCACAACTATTTGATTGGCCGCAGGTATGTGTATATATATATTTTAGCACACTGAGGGAAATGGGAAAACACTCGCGCGTATTTTGTATGTATTGGCAGTTGAACTTCTTAATGCAATTAGGGCAATACACGAAGTTAAACACGCTAATGGGTACAGCGGGATTGTGAACCGGAATGGGACAAGGACAATGGGGCGTATACGCAACGCTAGGAAGTTCCCTTTCCCTTTTAGCAACACCTAACACTCAGAGGTTAACGAAAGCACGGTTAAATATTAAATACTACCCAAGCGACTACCAGTTGCTCAGCTCCTTCCAATCGAAGACCAAATCAGCGGGACAAGGACGAATGAGTCCTGCCCGCGGGTGGGTGGCTGGTTGAATGTGTGCTGGAGGGTTTCGAGCTTAGAATATGAAGTCGCCGCAGTCCATGGCGTAGTCGAAGTCCTCGCCCCCAATGTCGTCCACGCCCGAGGAGTGAAAGTCGAAGCCGCCGATGTCCGTGTGGTAGACCGCCCCGCTGCAGGAGGTGTCGATCAGGTTGGTGCAGTGGGTGGTGGGCAGGGCGTGCAGGGTGAAGGTGTCCTCGCACTGCGACCAGGTGAGTCCCCCGCTCCACACCCCGTTGGGCAGCGTGGCCCATCCCCAGCCGTGGCCCCAGGGCAGGGCACAGGCCAGCGAGGCCTTCGAGTCCGGCTTCTTGCTGAGAATGGCCACCGCCGCGTCGCTCTTCACCAGCGGATCCTGGGTCTGCCTGTACAGCTTCGTGGTCATCGCCGAGGAGCAGCGGTGGTGCTTACTGCTGCTGGCTCCGTGGGACGCTGCCTTGCGCTGCTTCACCTCCGACTGGGTGGCAGCTGCATAAATAGAAACCGAAATATAACAAAATTGGTTAAAAACATAAGCTAATAATATGGTTCGAACCATAATATTAATATTAAAAGCAATACTAAATATTTGTAAGCATATTTATACCCGTTACTCGTAGAGTAAAAGGGTATATTGTATTCGTGCAAAAGTATGTAACAGCTAGAAGGAAGCGTTTCCGACCCTATAAAGTATATATATTCTTGATCAGGGTCACTAGCCGAGTCGATATAGCCATGTCCGTCTGTCCGTCTGTCCGTCTGTCCGTCTGTCTGTCCGTCCGTATGAACGCTGAGATCTCGGAAACTATAAAAGCTAGAAGATTGGCATTTTGCATGCAGATTCTAGGAGTTCCTACGCAGCGCAAGTTTGTTTCAAAAAGGTGCCACGCCCTTTAACGCCCACAATCGCTCATATACGATTTTAAAAATTTAAATATTTCGGAAAAGTAAAAATGCAGTTTTATTGTGTTTATCAATACCTATCGAAATGTAGAAGAAATTTTTCAAATCGGACCATTCGTTAAAAAGTTATGCGTGATCAAAGTTTCTATCTCCATCTCCCTCGCACTCCCTTTACCTGAGTAACGGGTATCTGATAGTCGGGGCACCCGACTATAGCGTTCTCTCTTGTTTTTATTTTAAATCATTTTTTAATTAATTAAAGAAAAGAAAGCTTTTTTAAATGGTTGGTCATAAATATTTTCTGATTCTTTACACTAAATACAGTCGAACATTTACAAACCTCAAGGTTTTGAGTCAACGACACCTTCTTCCGAAGGTGATTTAAGCGAAGGGATTAAACATGTTTAGGGGGACTTTACTCACGTCTAATGCGCACCAGAGGACGTCGGAGCACGTTCATCAGATGCGGCTTGTCCACCACCAGCTCGATTTGGGGCGGCGGAGGCAGGGTCTTGGTAATCGCATCGATCCAGTCGCTCACCTCCTGCTCCGACTTGGCCAGCATCCAGTAGACCTTCGACCGCTTGCGCTGCGATCCGAGGGCAATCAGCTGGGACACATTCACGCCCGCGGGCAGCGGCGGACGACGTGGGATCTGGCCGGTCCAGTGGGCGATGGCCAGCATCTCGGGCGCCTCCTTGACCAGGATCTTGCCCGTCGGCGAGGAGCGCCCTGGCTCTGTGAACCAGGCCATGGTCGAGTCGTCGTACAGCACCACCCACTCCTCCGCCCAGCGGTTCCAGAACATTTGCTCTGTGAAGACGGACATGGAATCAGATTAGATAACATTCCCTACGAGGGTATTCTTATTTCTTAAAATACAGCTGGTATTGCAAAGATTTATAATTGCAATAACTGTGTTTACAATAGAAAATCTATTAAATCACAATTTTACTTGAATAGCCTTTTAGAGATTTTTATGATAGATGTATCGTATAAAGCAATACATATTTATTCCTAATATTTTGATACCCTTCCTTTCTTGTTTAAATTAAGATATTTTAAAGCTTTTTAAAACTTTTTAGGTACCCGCACAATAAATTTAATTTTGTATAACAACGCAAATTATTGTTTTATATTAGGATATAAAAAAATCGTAATAATCGTAATAATCGTAGTAATCGTAATATACACATTAATTGAATGAGTTGGGTAACACTGATCGTAACTTTAGTGATGTTTTTAAACCTTCTGTTTGCCTTATCTAGCTTTTTCACGTTTTTATATTTCTCTATGGTAATCTGCAACAAGGGCTCAACACAAATTGTGTAGACCATGATTTTCAATCCGGCCCGGAAAGCATGACTATGACGCATCCACAGCGCTGCCAAATCATGAGTAATTACACTTGAATGTGACCCCGAAATGATTATACCCCATTCCCTCATTCAAAGGACCGCAGTGTGCTCATCCTCATCCATCTACCTCGTCCATGGATGCTGCGTCATCCTGTTGAGCCTGGCTGTTACTGTTGTGCTGATTTGACAGATTGTCGACTCTTCAGAGAGGTTTCTGTTCGTCCCTGGGCGGACCAAGCCTACTGTGCTGACAGGCAGAGGAAAAGGTCTGATTCGGACCGTCCTTTCAAGGACGTTGCGTTGTGGGTCCATTTCTGGGCAATTGCCTAGCAACTGATTCTCTTGCACGCGAATTCATTGTCAGTTGCCTACGAATGGGTATATTTCGCAGGAAATATGCGACTTCTCAAGTTCGAGTTCGAATAATAAAAATAAAAGTTTTAAGGAACAAATCGTGAACTTAGTAATAATGTTGGTTTAAATGCTTCAAGATTGTATAAGAAAGAGAGATTTTCCCGTCTAGTCGACGTTAAAATACCTTTGTAAATGTGGCATAAGGATTAAGTAAGATTACAAAATTGGTGATTTGGGTACCCAAAAGAAATAAATGGATTTGGTCAGTTTATGGTTATATTAAAATTCATATAATGAATTATATTTCCACAATATATATTGTAAAATTCTGGGCACCTTCTTGAAACGGAATAGGCTTCCTTTTGGACTGTTATAAAGGATGTTTTAAACTCTTTTTTTTTCTTTTCGTGTCTCATATTATTCGGATTATAAAATTAAAATTTTCCGAATTTTTTTTAGGGTTTTATTTTTAAGGATCTATTTAATCTTTTTTGCGTACTATAAATTTTAAAAGTTATAATAATAATATAATTATGTTTTAATTGTCTTTTATGTTTTTTTTTCAAAAGCTTAAAATTCCTTTGTCGATGTTGAGACTACTTAAGAATAGTAGCTTAATATGTATACTCACTTTTGTAGCGCAGCAGATAGCCACCCTTGATTTGTTTGCCGCCAGTTCCTGTGAAAAGAGGAGAAGACGGAACGGCGAGTGAGTGACAAGTGGGGACATGTCCGCCTGCGAATCTCATCTAGTCCACATCCGCTGCCCAGTGCCCAGTGCCCAGTCCCAGTCACACGATGCCACTAATTGAACAGGAATCCAATGCTGCAGCCGTGGCCATTTCCCATTCAAGGACTTCTTCCCTTTTCGTCCGACATCCGCCATGCGCCATTTGCCATCCGCCAATGCCAACGCATCGAAACTGGAGTTGCAAATTTGAACTGTAAGCGAATCCAGGTGCGGCGGAGGTGCGAAGCGACTGGATTCGACAGATAACGAATGGCGTAAAACGAAACACGGAATTTCATTTAGCAATTCCCTCGGAATTGCACCCGTAGCAACTCAATCAGCCAGCCCGCCGCTGCTGCAGTTGCCCTGCTGGCCTAGTCTCTCATTTCAAATTCATTACCACTGGCATCCCATTTATTTGGTCCAGTGTCGGGAGTCGGAAGTCGAGGCGTGGAGGAGCGGAGTGGAGGACTGCAGCAGGATTTGGGCCAGTGGCAAACACGACGCTTGCGGTGGACTGAATTAATTATTTCAATAAAGATGGCCAAGGCAACTGACATACATACATTCGTATACTTGGTCCGAAGCCATTTCACACCTTTCCTGTCTGTGGCCACTCTCATGGAATGTGTGGCAGTTGTTGAAATTTAATTTAGACTAGAAGTAATGGTTGCTATTTGCCTTATGTCCCTAATTCAAAATTTATTACTTTTGTGTACATGTTTTAAGTTATTACCACAAATTTGTAACCTTTCCTATAAAGTATATTCAATTTCATTTGGTCATATACTTGTAATATAAATAATGTTACAAAGTTTAATATATAATCAAACAAATGTTTTGCCTTCGGAAAATACTGTGTATGTTGGGACATTGATTTAAAAATCTGCCTAAGAGCGCTCTGATTTTATTCTTTTCCTCTTTTACTTGCCGACTTCATGCCACGAAGCATTTGTCGTTTAAGGCAATCAAGAAAATATAAATTTTATATCAATTAATAGCTATTTCGTTTTTAAACAATGTGGCTAAGGAAAAAGTAGCACATGTATGATACTATTCTGCAATCATATTTAATTATGTCATTACTTTTTTATTGACCTTTGAAAACTGTGAAAAAAATGTTTACCCATAAACAAAAATCTATATGGAGCTTGGCTTAAGACTCCTTTTTTAGTCACTACATTTTTAGTGGAAAAAGTTAGAATGTTTACTGTTCCAACATACAGATCGTTACAATTAATAAACAAGAGAGAACGCTATAGTCGGGTGCCCCGACTATCAGATACCCGTTACTCAGGTAAAGGGAGTGCGAGGGAGATGGAGATAGAAACTTTGATCACTCATAACTTTTTAACGAATGGTCCGATTTGAAAAATTTTTTCTACATTTTTAAAATCGTATCTAAGCGATTGTGGGCGTTAAAGGGGGCTTGGCACTATTTTGAAACAAACTTGCGCTGCGTAGGAACTTCTAAAATCTACATGCAAAATGCCAATCTTCTAGCTTTTATAGTTTCCGAGATCTCAGCGTTCATACGGACAGACAGACAGACAGACAGACAGACAGACGGACAGACAGACGGACAGACAGACGGACAGACAGACGGACAGACAGACGGACAGACGGACATGGCTAGATCGACTCGGCTAGCGATCCTGAACAACAATATATGTACTTTATAGGGTCGGAAACGCTTCCTTCTACCTGTTACATACTTTTGCACGAATACAATATACCCTTTTACTCTACGAGTAACGGGTATAAAAATGGCCTTTGGAAAAACGAAAATTCAAAAAACAATTTACCTTTATAGACAAATTAATGGACTTCTCGTTTAATAATATTTAAATCTGTTTATTCAAAAAAATTGATTTTGGACAATTAAAAACAGTATAAATAAGATTGATATTGACCTTGAGCTGTAGTTCTCAGTATTGTACCCAGACATCAGGACTTGTAATAATCCGAGCAACTAATAAGCGGTTAATTGTGCCTAAAGAAAAATTCTTCTAATTTCGGAATTGAAGCACCATCTAGTAGTCGTTGCAGCAATCGAACACTCGAAAAGTTGCCGTTGCAGCAAACTCAGACTGATTATGGGATGCGATGAGCTCGCACAGCATTCCAAATCGCTTGAGGCTCGCAAGGTAAAAAACGTCGCTTGCCGTCAAAATGGTCAGGTTTTGGCCTGCTTTTTCTATGCCCTCTTTCATTCGTTAACACAAAAAAAATGTAATTATTTATTTTATTGTTCTATCATACCAAACACAGGAATCGCAAACGAGACCAAGTTTCTAAGGTATATTGTTTATAAAAGTTGCATTTTTTCGAGGTTACTACTGATTAGTGAAATAAATAAATAGTAGTAGTAAATAGTAGGTTGAAATATGGTTTGCTTTAAATATTTCAGTTTTTATTTTGTTGCTCGCTTTTATTGTAAACAGCAGATACAATTTTATTGTTTCATTTGTTGTTAACTACTATCAGCTGAATAAAATTAATAAAAACCAAAAATGTAGTGTTATATTTTATAGAATTAACGTAGGCAGTGATTACTCAAGAGTGTTTAAAATGTAATTATCATATTAGTTATGTAAAGTCGAGGTATTTTTTTGATAATGAACAATTGTAGGTCAGACTATTTTGGTAATTTTTTATTTCCTAAAATATTTAAATCGATATGGCGTAATTTCAAATTATATAGATTTTACGAAAAAAGTCTAAAACGTAATACAAATGTGTTCAAATATATGGTATAAAAAAATAAATCAAATAAAAGTACAACTTTAGGGCAACATTCCTTAATATGGAGAAACTTTATAAGTGTACCCAGAGACCAAACGAAATGCAGACGACAACGATAGTCGCAACCCAAGTGTCGACGGAGATGATGAAAGGATGAGCTGGGGCTGCATATATGTTGCTTTGGGGGTTGATGAGAGAACAAGCTCGTCGAAGGACACTGCCTCGCTTGTATAAGAACGCAAGGCAGCGGACATCATGTGTGCCACTTCACTGCACGCACACAGCCGCATGCAGCCATGCCCACGCACACACACATCCTCACATGCATCCTCGCACTCTCGCATCCTTACATGCACATCCACATGACAAATCAGCTAGAATTGCAAGTGGCTGCCACAGACAACCAACCCATCCCCATTCTCGAATCCCGTTCGCACTGGGGCAAAGACGAATCGGAAGGCGAAGACAACGACAAACGTGTACAGACATAATTGCTGGCCTGGCTAGATATGAGAGTGGATAAAGGGCTGGGATATATGTATATGAACGTAAGCGCACTCAAAAAAAAATTACATAAAAAAGCTTCAATTCCATGAAATTCGGAAACGATGATCAAGATTTGTTGCGTTTGACAATAAGACCAGCTTTTCGATTGAATATAAAAAATTAAATTATTAGAAGGGAGATTAAGTCATTAATAACTCATTACAATAAATGTTTTTAGAAATTTAAAGAAACAAATTCTATTTTAATTATAATGTACAAGCTATAAGAAACCTTTTGTTATTTAAAAGTTTCTTTTATTTCAAATTGAAAAATTTGTTTATTTGCGAACCATTTTACATAACAAATTGGTAAAATGATCGAGGTGTTGTTAGTTAAACTAAAGTTGTAAGAAGACCATGCCAATATGGAATTGTGTGAGTACAATTGTTGCACAAAATGGCCATCCTCTATCATACGATTTCAAATAACCTTGTTGCACAACTAGAACCAGTTGGGAATTACAGAAAAAAGCCAAGCTGAGCGTAGCTTTGCTGTATTGTTACCCTGTTTATGTTTTTTTTGTTTCTTTTTTGTAGAGTTCACACAGTTTTCTTGAAAGTGCACACATATGATTTATGCATGGGTCGCACTGCAGCAAGCAGCTGTAACCGAAGCCAGTCGCAACTCATTTCCAGCTGAATCCCTAGCAAATACACACCTACGCCCACGCCGTGTTTAGCGTGATATGGGGCTGTGTTGTCTCTACTTAATGATTTAATGCAGGGCACCTACATACCAACACACTCATGTGCTGGGCAATGGGCGTGGCACTGTCAACAATTGCAGCGTAATGAAACCGCATCCTGGATTCCGCTTGATAAGTGAAACGCTGGTGTGGGCCAGGAAGTGGGACGAAGGGATGTTGGGCTGTGAAAGAGAAAGTATCAGACAGACGCGCAGCTGCGCCTGTGTGCGAATTCATTGAGAAAAATAGGCAGCCGGATGGGGCAGAGGGGGGCGGAGAGGGGCGGGGCATCTGGGGTGGGGCAGCAAAAACGAGTTCAAGGGTTTTCCGCCAAATGAGGCCACACCGACTGCCTTTCGGGGGCGCAGTTTCGGTTTCAGCCCCAGTTTCAGTAGCAGTTTCACTTTCTCCCTGCTCTTCCCGCTCTTCCTACTCACCCATCGCCTGGGGCTGTTGCAGCTGCAGCTGCTGCATCTGCTGCGACTGGTGCATGAACGAGGCATCCGCGTCCGCACTCCGCGATTTCACCTTGGTGCACATGGAGAACATCTTGGCTGGGCTTGGTTGGGCTGGTTTTGGAGGTCTCTTCTTTTCCCCGATAATTGGCTCTTGGCAGCTTTGTTGTTGCTCTTGTTGTGGCGGTTGTCGTATTGGTAGTTTAATTGATTTTGTTGCCGTGCGGCTCGATAGGCAGCTTCCCGGGGGCGGGGGTGGGGGCCTGGGCCAGGTTGGGTTCCCGAGTCGGGTTTCCAAGTGAAAGTGATGTCAGCGCCAGGCTCGCGTTATCAGCACTCGCACACACACACACACGCACGCACAGCGGCACACCGACACACCGACACACACACAGCGAAACGAAAGTGCTTTCCCTTTTTTCTGTGCTAATTTTTCCCGATTTTCCTGCCTGTTTTCTGCTTTTTGGGCTGCAGCAACGCCTTTTTGCCCAGAAGTCGTTGATGGCTCGAAATTAATGGATTTGCGATCCTGACACTGACGTCGCTAATTAGATTTCCAATGCTCGTTGCCTGAGGCTGCTACTCCCCCACATCCGCGTCCTGCGAGTGGACAACGGACATGGACTGGTCTCGGGAGCGGTGTGAAATGGGCGGGGATGGTCCGTCGTCAGTCGGCCACTGGTCACTGCTGGTCGGTTGCTGCTGGGTCAGTGCCAGTCCCACATGGCAGTTGTTGCAGTCGCAGTCGCAGATTCAGTTGCAATCGAGCGATGGGTGCAGTGGCGTCGAAGGGCAGGACTTCTGGTCCTTTGTGGCCGCAATTATTAAGACTGATGCTGCTGCTGCTGCGGGTGTTGTATGTTGAAGGCGGTGGTTATGTTGCTGTCCGCTGCACACCTCTGCTGGGTTAGACGGCCGAAACTCGACTGGCGGGTCTCGCCGAGCCAGCGAAGCTCGGAGCCGAGCTCCTCCAGCCGAGAGCTTTCGGCTAGGACTAGGACAACACTCGAGCGCCAGACGCAGGCGGTGAAGCTGCTCCTGGTCGTGTCCTTCAACGTCCTACGGCAACAACAACACCAGCGAACCCGCCAACGCCAACAGATGACAGGCTTTCACTCATCTTCCCAACTTTCTCCCGAGCTTTTTTCATACTTTTTACGCGCTCTCTCTTTCTCTCTCTCTCCGTCTCTCAGTGGTGCGTCCGTGATAGTAGGTTACCCGACCACCCACCATCTACCCACAGCACCCCATCATCGCTTATTTGGCAACGGCAACCCACTGCGACTCCGGATGGGGCGGCAGCATCTGCTCCGCTCGGTGATAATCGGTAATAATGCGCTTCGCCACTATTCAAATGGGCGGCGAGTAAATAAACAGTACTTAGTACAGTGTGAACACTTGCTGAGCCCCAAAAATTTTACAGGACACGCAGCTGCCGCGCGTGAAAAAGAGATTGTGGCGGGAATCGAGTTGGGACGGTCTCCACCCAATCCCTTGGGTGAATGCGGTGCCGGGGGAGGGGAAGCTGCGAACGGTTACTGGGTGACCCAAATTGAAATCTATTCAGGCTGCACGACGGCGATTTAATTATCTTAATTTGATTTTAAGTTGCGCCCAACGGAGAACCAAAGTGACTCGTACCACATGGCGTATGGGTAATGTGTGTGATAGTGCAGTAATGCAAAACATATTACACATGTTTTTATCATTCAAGCTAGATAAGAAGATAATCCAGTTGTTTGTAAGTCAAAATGAAATGACGGGGGCTATATGTAATATTTGTTGTTCTGTAGGGAATTATATGTACTGTCATACAAAGTGGCTTTTAGTCAATATTGCCAAACACTTAGGTCATATTTTCAACATATTCTAGCAAGGGTCATATTTAAGGTTTTCAATGCTAAAAGCAACCATATTTTGCTAAAAACAAATTACCTAAAATTGTTTAACAGCTAGTCATTACCTTTAAATAAATTTGTGATTTTTATTATTTTAACTATGTAATGTGTTCGGTTTTGTAAATTAAACTTATCAAAAATCATTCAAAATGGCAGGGATGAATAAATGTGTATAATTATCCCATCAAAACCATATCGCGACCAAAGTTTCATTAATGGGAAGCCACTGCAAGCTATGGCTGTTCAGCAATCTTCTATGGTCCCAAGGCTATCCCAGAATTGTCAATTAATTTTTTAATTAAATTGTCAATAACACTACTTATGTGTTTGTCGAGCAGCAGTCCCATCAGCTGCGAGTCGCTCCCTCAAACATCATTCTCCGCTGCGCAATAAACGGCAACTGTTGTTCGCCAGCAAGTTACCCGCATTTATTGACCATAAGCCATAAGCTCCTTAAAAGCAATCTCAGCGCCTTCATTTCTGGTACTCTGCTGTCCTGGTTTCCCTTTGCAACTGCAGTGGCTCAGGCCGTGTGTTGGATGGTGGCTTTATGTCCCAGCACTCCCATCCGTGGAAAAGGGATCTCATTACACCTGCCAGCACTTGCTCTGTACGCACAGTGTATATACGATATGGTATACGAGAATGGCTGTGTCCCCCTTCAATACCAGCTTTGTTGTGCTCTGTGTGGATGCTTTACATGTGCCGCCTGCTGGAGACCCATTCCCCAACTCAACCTCCTCCTGAACCACCACCTGCACCTGCACCTGAACCTGAAATCACTTAATCAGTTTATGCAGCGCAAATTTGCCCAGGCGAAGTGGGCTTGGTTTGGTATTGGTGTTTTGCATTGCTTTTGCTTTTGCTCCGGCGCTCGCAGTTCTGTTCGAACGTGATGCCTTTGTAAGTGGCATTAATTTGATGCTGCTTCATGTCTACTTTGCTCTTACCAGCTGCATTAATGGAATTAAAGAAAAACGATTTAATTTTGTGATATCTAATTTCTTAAAATGTTTTTAAATTTTGTGTGGATTCTGATGGAAAAAAAAATTACAAGGCACAGGGAGTTTTTAGAAGATCCATAAATAGGATTTAATTCCCTATTTTGTTTTAGGAACTTAAACGTTTTATTTTAATAACAAAAAAATTAACCAAAATAACAAATGGCTATGTTAACTCAACTGTCAATGACATATTTTTTTTTCTCTACAAACTGAGGGGTACTGTCTGAACTCCAAAGATCTATATAGTCTGCATAAATAAATCTATTAAAATTTTTTTTTCTGGTTTAAATGACCTCTTGGACTCAATTTTATAAATTTAACAAAAGTGTTTGCTGTATAACTTTGTAAAAATATTATATATGTCAAAATTAAAAACCATTGAATTTGTGTGGCCTGGGGACTGTAAATAAATTTCGATTTCATATCCATGCACCCCCTGTCGAGGATTTCAAGGCCTGGGCGTTTTCACTTTCGGTTTCCAATTACACACAGTCTCGCGCTTCGCCAGCTCGCTCTCTCACGCTCCTTGTCTCTCTCTATTTTCCGACACGGACACAGATACGCACACGCTTAGCTTTAATGTGTGGCCCGGTTTCGGATTTCCACCACTCCAAGCCCAGGCCAAAGCCAAAGTCCTAGCCCAACCCATCCCTAGTCCTAGCCCAAATCCCCGTGTCCACGCCCATACTCCTGACCGTGACACAATTTCCACTGTCGGGCATCCGCAGTAATGGCAGCAAGAGCAACAGCATCCAGGGGTACATAGCTGGCTAGCTGGTGACCTGCTCTAGTTCACGGATACTCCGTCCAGCTGGGGCCAAAAACACTTCTTGACTTGGCCTAAAAACAGGGCAAACAGGTGCTCGGCATCGGAAATCGGACACTTGTTGGCCTTGCTGGTATCAATTCACATGTTGGTGATTATCGTAGGATTTATTATCATTTGGTGATTTGATTTAAGGCTCTACCTTGTACATTACAATGATATACATATAAATACATTGAATTACTCGCTTAGATCAGGACTTCTTTGAATGTACGCGAGTGATTCTATCTTTCTTGTGTCTGTTGCGTTTGGCAAAATACTTGCCGAGTCAACGTTGCGTATGTATAAAATATATATAAACATGTATCTGGGTTGTGTATGTACAACAGACTGCCTTGTACAACTTTCGCCTGACTTTCGCTTAGTTTGCAATTAACATTTTGAGTAACAAATTTATGCAGCATCATGCAGAAGTCGTCGTGTTCTCGGTTCCTCAGCTGTGATGTTCCTGAATATAATAATGCTAATTAGGTGGCTGGTGGGGCGATGGATTTGTATGATAGATGGCAAGATGAAGCGTCAACAAACTTAATATCCAAAACCCTCCTCATCTCCTTAATATTTATTAGGGTGTCCCGATTCGCTCGACAAAGATTAAATATTTGGTATGCGTAAGAGGCGCCTTTCGGTATTTTGAAAATGCAAACGGAAACGAAAACTTAAAAAAATTGATCAAACTGAAATATTTGAATAAGTGTGAGTTTAATAAAAATAATTGTAGGCCTACATCTTAAAGTTATACAAATTATTGTTTTGAAACATTTTATAATATGTTTAAATCGGTCCACCCCAATACTTATTTGAAAAAGTACACAAAGAAGATTGGCCCGATTCGAAAAAAATATAAAATATGATTTAAGTCCAGACAAGGAAGTCTGCTGCACATTTGTATGTACATCAACCGTATACACTTGCGTGACTTACTTTATGTGGGGCTATAAAATTAGGTACATATACAGTATTAACTATAACATTTTAAAAAATCTGTACTTTTTCATTTCACACAAACAACAAACATTTGCTAATAGCCGAAAATTATGCTACGATTTTCAATTCGTTTTGGTTGTTTTTACCGCGTAATACTCAAAGCGTATTTATCATCTAGGGATTCTTGGTTTGATTCTTCTTGGTTTCTTATTTAGTTGGTTTTACAATAAGGACACTAGTGAATTACATTCAAAAGGGGTGATGGAAACGCGACCAGTCGAAACTTTAAGGAAAATCAACAAACGTTGTAAAAGTAGCGACGATGGTCGTGGTGGTGGTGGCTTCCATTTCCGGTTCCGTTTAGTTCTGCAGCGCTGCTCGGAGGAGACTGTCCAGGGTGAGCTGGATGGTCCCATTGGCAGCTGCCTGCAGAACGGATGGCGGCTTGGGCAGGGCCGGAAACATTGTCGGTGCTCCCGCTTGACTGCTCTTGCCGCCCAGGCATTCCATACCAGTGGTTGCCACCGTTTCGGGCACGGAGGCGTGGCATTTGCTGGGCGGCGAAGGTGGCGTGGGCAGGGGGCTTGATGTTTTTTCCATTTCGGATTTCGCTTTTTCCTCTGGCTGGCTTTCTTGCTCATGGTCCTGGTCCTGGTCCTTGTCCTGGTCCTGGTCCTGGTCCTGTTCCTGCTTCAGCTGCTGCTGCTGGGCAATCGCAGTGTTGACCTTGTTCAACAGGTTGCTGATAACAGCGGCGTCCTTGCCGGCCGCTGCCGTACGCTTCGCAATCTTTTCGATGAAACTTTCGGTTTCCGGAGCAGGATTCAAAGAGGTCTCCACCACATTCTGTTGCTGCTGACCGCCCTCGCTGCGTGTGTGCGAAGTAAGGCGCGGTCGAATCTGCGGTCGCTCTGAGGGCAATTCCGGCAAAGTAGCTGACACCGCCAGACCCTGACTCACCAGTTCCAACATGATGCGTTGAGTGATACCCAAAATCAGAGGCTTCTTGGCCTCGGTTATGTAGGCCTCCCACTGTTTCGGTTTGGTTTCATCATTGCTTCCCGTCGGCTGGCGACGCAGCTTGGCCCGCATGGACTCCACGGCCAGCGCGGCTGGTGTTTGCTGTCCCGATCCATCTGGCTTAAAACTGACCATATCGTAGACAAAGTCTTTGTTGACCGCCTTAACCCGTTTGCGGATGGGACGCTTCTCTTGAGAATACTCGCCAGATTCGGGTGAGATTTGAGTGCGAGACTTCCGACGCTTTTTGCTTGGAGTGGGAGTGGCTTCCAGCGGCTCCTGGCCGGGTTCCTCCTTTATAATGGCTGTTGGTGATTTGGTTTTAACTTCTCCCGCAGATTCTGTTATGGTTTTGATACGCTTCAAGCGCCTTTCGTACGTTTTAATGGGAGGCCTAGACTCCTTCTCTGTCGCTGCCACCTCCTCCTCCTTATCCAGCAAAATTATATCCCCGTCTACATCGTCGCGGGAGTATTCGCACTCGTGGGTGGACACATACTGCTCCGTCAGCTTGTCTCGGTCTCCTTCTATCTTGTGGGTAAAACCCAAGTGATTAACAATATCGTAGCGCCTAAAGGCGCGATATTCGCACAAATTGCAGCCGAAACGGCGTGCGCGGTAGTGGAACATGGATATGTGACGACGCAGGTTTCCGAGGGCATTGAACTGCTTGTGGCAGATCTTGCAGCGGCAACGAAGCTGCTTCTCCGCTGGGACATTACGCTTCTTCTTGGCCTTGCCCTTGGCATCTTCCGGATCTGCAGTGGATTCAGGACCAACCCCAAGTCCAAGCTCGTGCTCTTCGTCGGTGTTAGAGGCCTCATCGCTAGCAGAGTCACTTTCATGGCCTAGATTAAGCTGGTCCAACGACACTGTATGCAGGCCAGGGGCAAATGAATCGCTTGGCTCCTGTAGATCGGCAAACATCTCGTTAAGAGTAATCTCCTCTTTTTTAATCGGTTCATTTTTCGGCAGATCTATGGAGGCGTTTGGGTCCTCATCAGCCGCATCAAGACTGAAATCATTGCTCTTAACCTTAAGTTTTTTGACGGAAGGAGCCGGCTTGGCCAACGCCTCTTGTTTTGCTCGACAATTGAGCAGGTGTGTTGATAGAGCAGCGCGACGCTCAAAGGACTTTTCGCAGTAGATACACAAAGACATGATCTTACGTTGCTCACCGCTGGCATCCAATGGCTCCGGGACATAGCCCACCACGTCGTCGGAAAGCTGCAGGCGCTTTAGCTCACGGCAGGGACCCTTGGGCTGAATATCTCCTTGCTGGACGCGGCGCTTGAGGATAGAGTTCCGCATCATGCGAATGCGTCGAGTTGGTTTCCTGAAAATAATGTTTCCAAAAACACAACTATTTAATTTCGGTTTATAGTGCTTCGGAAAATATAATCACAGAAATAAAAGCAAGAAAAACGCTATTTATCAGAAACGGAAGTTTGACCAAATTTCGAGGTTATCGAGATCAGACAACTTACTCATTGGGGCATAAATATATATTTGGTTTTTTAGTGAATTTGTGCTGTGCTGGTAAGAGTTAAAGGTGCAATAATCCTGCAATAGAACTCTTATAGAGTTCTTATAAGTTATTATTCTTATAATAATAAGAATTGTATAATTTGATTGTTTGACATGTTAAAGAGTTAATAATTGAAAAGTTTTGAAGTTTCATTTGAAACAATATAATTTCTAAATAATTTACATTAAGTTAAAAAAATTCAAATTAAGGTATAAAGAGTGCATATATATAGCTTAAGTCATAACGCCACGTTTGTATTAAAAAGCGATTATGGATTATATAGAAATTTTAGTTTTACAAAATTTGTGATAAAGAATCGACTAGATTTTGTACCAATTCTACATACTTGTGGTCCTTGGACAAATGACGAATAACTGCAGCGGCTTGCATAAAGGTCAACGAACACGCTGGGCACTGAAAAACAAACGCCCGTGACGAGTGATATCTCTGAATGTGCAGCTCTAGGGTTTTGTGCGTCTGAAAAGTCAGGTTGCCTGTGAACGAAAATAGGCAATAAACCAGTCACTAATTGATTTCAAGGCCTATTCGGATGGGTAGCCTTACAGAGCTTGCAATAGATGATCGTATCCGTTTCGTCGCTGATGGACTGCTCGCCGGTTTCGCCAGAGTCGCTGCCTCCGTGGCGCTCTAACTTGACGGTGGTGACGGCTTTGCCGTCGGGTCCCACAATGGTTTCAGGCGGATTCAGCATGCGGTGCACCTCGTCAAGCTCTGTCCTTATGCTGTCCTCCTGATCCACCTTGATGGTCTGGTAGACGGCCTGATTGGAGGTGGGCACAGACTCCAGCTGGAGAACGGTGGTGGAGCTCCTCCTGGCCTGCGACGGAGCCTTTTCTCGTCGCAGACGCTCTATGACCCCACTCAGGTCCCGCATTCCGCCGCCTCCTCGCATAGGACGCACTTCGCGGGGAACTGGCGAGCAGCCGGTGCTCCTGCTGCGCAGCATATGTTCAATGTCCTGCGGCGACGGACCGGCACCTTTCTGAATGATCATCGTGGAGTTGTGATCCTGCAAAGCAAATCAAACGGATTGATGAAGTTTCCTAGGTTTTAAAGTTCATGTCATGGGGTTGTCTTTACTGCCCACTCACTGTGTATCCACTGCCGTTGGTAGAACGAGCGCTGACGCAGCAAAAGACACGCTTGTGGCTGATGAAATTGGCCAGGCTGCGAAACATGTTGCGGCACACCTTGCACTCGTAGATCAGGCTGCACTCCAGGCTGAGCAGCTGACGCACCTGCGGAAAAGAGTGGGTTATCCGGGGAATTCTAAAAATCTGGGTCGAAGGAGCCTCCGCCATTGCAGACCAAAGCTGAGTCACGTACTCCACTCGGGAAAGACTCACCTCGTTGGTGCCATCCTCGTAAGCCCGGCGCGCCTCCTCGAATCCCGTATGGGCGGTGCGTAGTGGGCGCTGTAGCAGGCTGATGTCGTCACCGTTGTGGTCCATCTGCTCCTCCTTATAAGTGTCCGAGTTGCAGCGCGAGCTGCGCTTCCTCATGGCGCTGGTCTACGCGTCTACGCCTGCTTCTGCTGGCCGAATTCTTGTACAATCCAAGCGCACTGCCTTTCGGATTTTTTAAGCCACGTGCGGCTTCTAATTAGTTTCTAATACGCGATCAAAGAGGTTTTCCAATTCGAATATGGGCCTGCATCTTGCATTTTTTGTATTCAGTGTGCCCGTTGCTGGTGCGCTGGTAAAATGTTGAGTATTATCAAATTATCAAGTGTAAAAGGCTGTTAGTATTATTTTTAGAACGAATAAAATATAATGATTGGCGGTATACTTTATTAAGATACATTAATTAGTTATATCATTATCAACCCCTAATTTTTTAAATCAAATGGAAAAAAATAAACTCAAATTGTTTGATCAACTGCATGATGTTTTTGTAAATAATAATAATTTGAGACAGCTTGTGCCAAAATTTAATGATGGTCCCATAAGTTGGAAAATGAAAAAAAAAATGTTACCCATTTTGGTTTGTTGAGTAAACTTCTTGATTATATACAAGTTTAGTTACAGCTTTATATCTTCAGTTGGTAAACTTTCTATATATTCAGAAAAAATGAGGAAAGGTACATATTTTGGCGTTCAGCACATGGTCACACTGATGACTTGAATAAAAAAACAGTGGCCGGAATTAAACTCGTCACATTAGTTTCTTCCATAAATTAACTTACAAAAAACACGATGAGCTGTCCAGGATTTGGGGAACTGAACATACCGTCCTCACGTGCCTTTTGGGACGACTGCGAGGAGGATGAGTTTGAGAATCTGAAGCCGGTGGAGAAGTGCGTGATTTTGCCTTGTTTACCTGGTGTTAATCTATAGGACTTACAGGCTGAAGCTCAAATTCGATGGCGAATCGTCTGGAGAGGAAGCCCCCTTGGAGAGTGATCTCCTATTGGTCATTGAGGGCGTCCACGTCACCCATTTCGGCACCTCTGCGCTGGCAAAAGATTCGAAACTCGTTTGCGGTATTCCTGCCAAGAGCTCGTCCCTGCACTGGAGTCCTTCGACCAAACAGCTGCTTGCCGTCTTGGAGGAAGACCTGACCAGCAGCGGCGAGATCACTGAACTTCTATTGCCCTACGCCAAGCTGGCCAAGAAAGTCATCACCCTGACGCTGAAACCAAAGGTCGAGTTTAAGAGTGAGAATATTCAGTTTTACCGGGACCACATTGCCATTGTGCGTGGCGTAGGTGTGAACCAGAAGGATGTCACCGAACTAGAGGCTCCCAACTTCATAGCCGGAGTGGCGGCCGGAGGTGAGTGGTCTTGGTCGCAACAGGATTTTACTTGCATATATAACCATTTTCCGACTCGTTTTTAGTTGCCACTTGGAGGGATCAGGAGGAGTTGCCAGTGAGCTCCTTCGTTGTCTACACCGACAAGCTGCCCTTGGACTCTACGGCGGCCCAGCCAGTGATCAAGCTTCTCCAAAGCTTGGGCGTGTCGTGCAGCTCCGGCTACATCCCACTCCGCAAGGAGAACTCCTATTTGTACATGTAAAACTACTTTCGGCTGTGTTCTTCCTAGTTTTAATGCTTGTAAAAATGTTGCGGTTGCGGAATAAAAAATCGAATTACTTCAGTACTTCAAACATGCTGAGGTTAACCTCTCGCCGACGCTGCTCCATGTGCGCTTTAGCAATGGCGATGAACTGGGGTCGGGATAGCATCGAATATGCAGGAACTAACAAGGAGGAGGTCAGCATGTGCAGCTCCTTGTGCCCACTACTAAACATGTCGATTCCCAGTTCTAGGGCGCTGCCAAAATCCGATTCATCCACGGCTATATTGGCGGCATTGGCCACCGGTTGCAGCTTCTCTAGCACAGCCTGCTTGGCGGCTCCATTATCGACTTCCTTGCGCTCCAGCATGGCCAGCATCTTCTTGAGCTCGGCATCACTGACTGGTAGCGGGCGGTAGCCTAGTTGCGTCTTCCGGTCAAAGGGCACCACAATACCTGCACGGTGAAACGTCTTGGCCACCACCCGCTTGTTGCGCTCCTGCTGCAGTCGGTCCAGCTGTGCCAGTTCCAGGGAATTGTCGCTTAAGTACTTCGGCACCGCTTTTTTGGTTCCATTTAACTGGCCGGCTGAGAAGGGAGTGGCTACAAAGTCATGCTCCAGGAAGTAGAGGAACGCATCGAAGGCATTTCCAGCCACAAACTGAAACTCGCAGCCCTTGGACGAGTCGGTGCGGGCTATTAAGAGATTCTTCTTATCCTGCGGCACATCGCGCCAATAGCCGTAATGAATTCCTGTGCCCCGGCGCACGAAGATCGTCTGGAACTCGGGTGGATCGTAGTAAAAGCGCCAGTGGCGCAAGTAGTCCCCCGGTTCGCCTAATTTAGCGCCGTGAAATTTGCCGGCCAGGAACTCAAAGGGACCCACCAGTTGCAGTTGGAAAACTTTGTCCAGGTGCACTAGACCCGCGTCCTTGGGCCTTGAGGAATCGGTTTTTAGGCTTTCTACAAATTTCCAAAATTCATAAAAGTCTGGCGGCATTTCGACAAGGAATTTGTGCCTAATGAACTCGTTTGATTCGCAGAGATTGTCGTACTCCTTTTGCACGGAAAGTCGTATGCGCTTCTCAAGGATCTCCATGTAGTTCTTCCCTGATATGTTGTTCATAGCTTCCTTGTGAAGCTCCGCTGTTTCGGATTCATAGCTTCCCTTGGCCTCCTCTTTGTCTTCCATGTCACCACTAGAGTTACTTGTGTTGGGTTTATCCTTTTCTTCCGACTGCGCGGGCTTATCCTTCTCTTTTTCCTCCGTCTTCGTGGGCTTATCCTTCTCCTTTTCCTCCGCCTGGGAGGATGCACTTCTTTTTGGCGCCAATTTTCTTTCTTCTGCGCCTTGTTCTTTTTTCTCGTCTGGCTTCTCTGGATGATTATATTTGGACAAATGGGCAGGATTACGCTGATAGCACTTCTCCCAGTATTTGCAATCCTCTTTTGGCATTTTCGATTTCAAAATATAAACAATTTTTGCGATACGTGCGGTATGGTACAATTAACATGAATAACACGGTCTCAGGGGCGCCGTCAAAAGTTCGTAAGGGGTGCGAGTGAAGCGCTAAGGTCGGGACAAAAAAGGTTTTACCGGTTTATCGCTTAGTTCTCAAAGTCCATAGCTTTTTGATGAAAAAAATTAAAGACCAAATTACCGTCTCGTAAAAGCAAATGGGTTCTCCAACCAGCAGCCTTCTCGTCCTAATGGTAAGATAAAAGAAGGTTCGTTTGAATAAATTCAAAATACTTTCTTAAATAAAAACAATTTTTAACAATATTGGCTTGCGACTTTTTGAGTTGGAGTGCCTACCGGTTTTTCGGGTAACATGTTCAGTCTTTATGTTCTGACCTTTTTTTTTATTACCGCTTAAAAAATAAAAGCTATTTCCTTATTTCTGTTTACTTAATTTGTTCCACCCTACGCCCATGAAGATTCCCGTTCAAGAAGAAGAATGCCGAGCCGCCCCCAAAAAGCATTTGAGTGTTGCGAAATGCCGTCAGAAAGTGCCGGTGACTGGCATAAAAAGGCACCTAATTGCAATAGATATTTAGTGTTTTCTTTTAATTATTGTAGTTCATTCAATGAATACAAACTTTGCGAAGAGAATCGAAATGTTGATGGTTGGGTGGTTAGTACAGTTATAGTTGCATATGGGCAGGCGTTTCAAAGGAAAAACACTATTCTAAGCAGCCATATGGAAACAGGACTAATCCTCAACAGCGCACATGACCGAGTAGACGCACTCCTCCTTGTTGATCAGGTGACAGGTCTTGTTGACCAGGGACATCAGTTGGTTCACGTCGGTGGCCCAGTTGTTCAGGATGTCGGAGGCGGTCTTTTTCTGGGTGAAGTAAATAATGCCGGCGGGACGGTCGATCTTCACGCGGATGGTGTCGCTGTTGGCCAGTTTCGAAAGGTACTCCTCGCAGCGGCCTGCAGGCAGGTTTAGCAGCTCGCTCATACGTGCCAAATGAAGGCGGGAGTAGTACATGGCAATAATGCGAATGTTCTGTGGGTATATAATATTTATAGGTATCGAAAGGCAGGAATATCTCCAACCGTATGCTTACATGTTCTATCAGACGATCCTTGAGCTCTGTGATGCACTTCTTGCCGTGCTTTGTACTGTCCTTGAACATATCATTCTCGGCCAGCACAAGCCCAAAGTCTGCATTAAATGTGTCGAAGTTAATCAGCTCCTTGGACATAAATAAGCGCAGAATTTCTCTGTGAAAAAGGATAAAAGGATAAGATCTGCCTTTGGTTGGATTCGAGATATTCGTACTTGTATGCTTGCACTTCTTCCAGCTTCTTGTTCTTTGAGAGGTGGGCCATCATGTCGCTTTGTTCGTTGTCAAAGGGTGCCAAAACACAATACAGGACGGCACAAACCAGCTTTTCCGTCAACTCCTTCTTCTGTTCCTCGGTCAGCTCAACCTCAACATCGGGCTCTGGGGCGACTTCTGGCTTCTTATCTTTGTCCTCGTCCTCCTTCTTCTTCTTGTCCTCGTCCTTCTTTTTTTGCTCGTCCGTTGATATAGAGGAGTCCTCGGGTGTGAGCCCAGTCTTCTTGCGCGGTGGCTCCGCAATGGCCTGGTAATGGCGTGAAGTTTTCAGGAAGGACGTTTCCCTGTTAAGCTGAATCATCAGGTAGTAGAACTTTAGCTTCAGATCGTGCTGCGCCGGATCGTCGAAGAACTTAATGCTAATCTTCTTGGCAATGATCTGTGTGGACACATAGTCCTCCTTCAGCAGACAGAGGCGCATCTGCTCCAGGATGAGTTCCACCTTCTCGCGCTTGTCCATCGAGCCGTAGGTCTCAACCTGCAGCTCCTCCATGACTGTGGCAGCTGCGGCAACATCGCCATCTGCCTCCTTGATATCGGCCAGGATCTTGGTGAGCCGGGCGCGCTCGATCTCCACATAGATTTTGCCCTCGGTAACGGAGCGGAGGGTGTCAATCAATTTCAGCTTGGTCTCCTTGTCAGGTGTCTTGTCCACGTACGTGACGCACTCCTGGATCATCTTGACCACGGCCTGTTTTAGTTGTGAGCGCCGGCGCACCAGCAGCGACACATACTCGTTGAGGGCATTCCAGTTGGATGCGTCGAAGCAAATCTGGCAAATGGCCACCAAAACGCGGGAGCAGGAGACCATGTCGGCGCCCAAGCGCGTCTGCTTCTCCAGCTGAAGCATCATCTCAATGGCTTCGTGAAAGGCATCCGGGTTCTTCCTGGCCAGCTCCTTCGCCAGGGGGATTTTTTCGTTGCAGGCCGGCTCGTAGTCCACCTCCATCTTGGTGATGCGGCCCCCATCAAACAAATAGGTGTCCATTGTGCTCTAAAATTCAGTTTAGTTGTAATTTTACCGCTATGACGAAGCAGTTTTCCCCACTTACATCGCTTCGTCTTTGTCCTCACGTAGAATCTAATGACACTGGTTTTATTTTGGGGATATGCTGAACTCCGTCTTGTTTACAAGCTGGATGGTTCGCCTGCCGTTTTTTCTTATGTTGTTTGATGCAAAAGCGGCTTTTTTGTAATAATAATTCTCTGCACAAATTCTGCTTACAAATGCTGTGTTAAGTTGGCTGCGCGAGTTTGGTAGTGTTGGAAATTGTTTTCCAGACGAGGGAATTTTGATTTTGAAATGGACATCATATCAATTGAAACGTCACATTCAAACAAATTTGTAGATAATAAATAAAAATATGGAGAACTTTTTATTAAAAAATATATATTAATATATCAAAATAGCTGATTTTCTGCATACCACAAATAACTGAACCACTAATATCAAATAACGGAATAAAATAATTTTATAGCAAAAACTATATACTTTGTTATCAATTCTATTTTTATTTTTCTCACGCCGAGATTAAACGATAGGTTGTCAAAAAACTTGACAGCCCTATTAGTGGGATTGCATTGTCCAACACTGCTGGCATCGGTCTTTGTTTAGCCGCGAAAATTACGCTAAAACACCCGCTAATGCCGACTAATTTTGTATAAAACGTGCCTTTGAACAACTTTTAAAATTAATACATTTGTTGGATTTAACTTAACTGCCACATTTAACAAGTCCCGAAAAGATCTTCTGCCCTACTATCTGCAGAAGTAAGTTTGTTGGCGGCTTTTAAGTTATAACAAAATGGCACAAATTGAGGAGTATCAGGACTTGGTAATCGATGCACTCGAAGTGGTGGACTTTAAGCTGAGTAAGTGGCTTCGATTTGGTCTGAGATAGCCCTACAAGGTATATGCTTTCAGTTCGGGACAAGGGGGACATCAATAACGACGCCCTGACGTTCCACCCCGCTATGGCCCATCAAATTTTTGGCGAGTCTGAAACCATCTTTGGCTACCAGGATTTGCACGTGCGTGTGATGTACACGGCAGGACCTTTGCACATTTACCTGGGCGTGGAGTACGGCAAGCGGGTGAACGAGATTTCCGGCGGAGAGATCAAGGCCGACGACGTGGTCAGCACCATTGCCCAGAGTCTACCGGACGGCTGCTACTTTATAAATCTCGATGAGTTTCTGAAGACTCTGGACAAGGCGGACAAGTTCCAGCCGTTCGGCGAGAAGATCAGCGAATATACCCGGACATCAGATGATGGCAGCGAACGGGTCTTCGAGATTTACCAGTGCGACTACAAGAGCTCGTCGTTCCTGAAGTTCTTTGCTCGGCTTCAGACCTTTATCTTGTGGTTCGTGGACGCTGCCTCCTACATCGACACGGACGATCCACAGTGGTGCTATTTCTTGTGGTAAGTAAACTAGCAAAGGATAAATGGATTTTTAAGTCTATGCCAGCCTACTTTTTGTTTTCAACGACCGCACTTGTTAGACTTCAATAAGTCGAGCTTCTTGAACTCCAATTTCCAATAAGTGGATGGCAATGGCGTACAGCAACTACATTTTTTCCTATTTTTGCCTCTATTGGACTCTCATACTCATATTTCTTTATATTCTTAAAACTATATATGGTAGCATTAAATTTACAATTATATGGATAAAAGAGATTTCTTCGTGCTTATTCATTGTTTTACTGAAACTTACCACCCAAATTTTGTATAAGTTCTATAGTGGTACTCGTTTTATATCGTGCGCTCGGTCACTTTTTAATGTCTAAGTTGGTCTTAAACCTCCTCCTTTTATGGGAATAATGAAAACTTATTTATATATAATATATATATATTTTGACCTTTTTATACCCGTTACTCGTAGAGTAAAAGGGTATATTGTATTCGTGCAAAAGTATGTAACAGCTAGAAGGAAGCGTTTCCGACCCTATAAAGTATATATATTCTTGATCAGGATCACTAGCCGAGTCGATCTAGCCATGTCCGTCTGTCCGTCTGTCCGTCTGTCCGTCTGTCTGTCCGTCTGTCTGTCTGTCTGTCCGTATGAACGCTGAGATCTCGGAAACTATAAAAGCTAGAAGATTGGCATTTTGCATGCAGATTCTAGGAGTTCCTACGCAGCGCAAGTTTGTTTCAATAAGGTGCCACGCCCCCTTTAACGCCCACAATCGCTTATATACGATTTTAAAAATTTAAATATTTCGGAAAAGTAAAAATGCAGTTTTATTGTGTTTATCAATACCTATCGAAATGTAGAAGAAATTTTTCAAATCGGACCATTCGTTAAAAAGTTATGCGTGATCAAAGTTTCTATCTCCATCTCCCTCGCACTCCCTTTACCTGAGTAACGGGTATCTGATAGTCGGGGCACCCGACTATAGCGTTCTCTCTTGTTTTCCCTTCGATTCCAAATCTTTCCCTTAACTTGTACTCTCTTTTAGCTATGAAAAGTACAAAAACAACGATGGACAGTGGCAGTACGCCACTGCTGGTTACACCACCGTGTACGAGTACTACGCCTATCCTCAAAATAAGCGTCCGAGGATAAGCCAGATGCTGATATTACCGCCCTTCCAGAAACTGGGCCTGGCCACCCAGGTTGTGGAGACCATTTACAAGTTTTATCAATCGCAGAAGAATGTGGTGGACATCACCGTGGAGGATCCATCCGAGGATTTTCAGCGATTGCGCAACTTTGTGGACGCTCGATCCTGCAAGGAACTAAAGTCGTTTGCCCGTGTCGATATTGTCAAGGGCTTCAACAAGGAGATGGTTCGGGAAGCTCGTGAAGCTCTGAAGCTCAATCCCCGCCAAGTGCGGAAAGTGTACGAGCTTCTCCGGCTCTTCTACACTAATGTGAAGGATGAAAAAGAGTACCGGCCGTATCGACTGGAAGTTAAGAAACGACTTAATGCAGTCTATTACAAGCAGCTGAAAGATTTGAAGAAAATGGAGCGCTTCAAGATGGACACAGAGATGCTGCGGGCTCGCCTGCCAACGGTGAAACAACGCATGGAGCAGCTGCAGGAGGAGTACAGTGTGGTCGAGCAAGACTACCAGAGCACCATCGCCAAACTAAAAGCCTTGTAGGGTCTGTGGATCCAAGGGGTGTTGAGTAATTTATTTCGTTTTTCCGTTTTCAAATATGTTGATTACAAAATACATTATGTTGCTATAAGCCTATAATAGGATTCTTTTGAATAAATATTAAAAATTACATATGGTTTCAGTGTATATATCATGTATTTATAAGATATCAGATTACCGTGTGCACGGACGTAGAGGGGCAATGCTGGGCGTGGGGCACTTGAGCAGTTAAGCTTATAAGAAACACAAAACATTACGGCTAACGAGTACGATTTATACAGATTGAAAAGTATTGCAATTGAGACTTGGAAGTACGCTTGGGATACAATCATCGGGTGTGCTGGGCCAGCAGCCCGTACAACTAGCAGGACCCGTACTCCTCCATCCACTTCTCGAAGCGGGCCACATCGTCGGCTGACACAGACTTCTTGGTGCGCTGGCGGGCGTCCTGGAAGTCTTGCAGCGTGATCGGCTGGTCCACCTCCTCGCGGCGTATCTGCTTGATTTGGTCAGGAGTGCGGCCCGAGATGAGGCGCCGCATGGCCATCATGGAGGCGTCGCGACAGACGTTGCTTATGTCCGACCCCGAGTAGCCCTGCAGTTCATCGCCGATCATTCCGGTGTTCAGGCTGGGAGACAGGCAAACGTCCTTCAGGCAGAGATTGAGTAGAGCGGAGCGGGTGTCCTCTGGAAATAAAATTATATTTGAACATTTTCGGTTGTTAATCAATTATAAGGTGCCTCCTTAAAGGTTGACGAAAAATATATATGTACATATGTACATATGTACATATGTAAGAATTCAAAACAAAGTTCTTTAAGAGACCAATATATTGGATCTTACCGTTTGGGAGCGGAATGTAGATCCGCTTCTCGAAGCGTCTTCGGAAAGCCTCATCGATGTCCCACGGATGATTCGTGGCCGCCAGCACCATGATCACCTTCTCCTCCTGCATACTGGCATTAAGTCCGTCCATCTGGATGAGCAACTCGGCCTTGAACCGCCGACTGGCCTCGTGCTCCGAATCGCTGCCCCTGGAGGCGCACAGGGCGTCGATCTCGTCGATAAAGATAGTGCTGGGGGCATAGAAGCGAGCCATTTCGAAGAGAAGCCGCACCAACTTCTCGCTTTCGCCTCGATATTTGGAGGTCAGGGTCGAAGAGGACACGTTGAAGAAGGTGGTGCCGCATTCTGTAGCCACCGCCTTGGCCAGCATCGTTTTGCCTGTGCCTGGCGGACCCACCATCAATACTCCGCGCCACGGCCGGCGGATTCCCTTAAAGAATTCCGGCATGATGACCGGAAGAACCACCGCTTCCTGTATCGGTAAAAAGAAAATCAAATGAGTCATGGGGTGTTCTGTATTTATGCAATTTGATTAACAGATGCAAGGATTTATCCTAAGCCAGAAATAATATACAGTGGCGGGATAAAGTCTTCATTTTTTGGAATCAAAGCAGTCCTATAGGACTGCCGTCTTTTTTTTAAATTTAATTATTAAATAAAACCCAACAAAATCTTATTTATTCAACATTATCTTTCAAAGGTATTAACAAAAAACTAATGAAAACACTGACAAAAGTAAACATAATTTTCGTTAGTTAGCTGTTTCTGCAATTCTTTTTGTCAAGACCTAAAAGTACACTATTTTATTCCCTAATATAATTTCAGTAAAAAGTTTCCAAGGTAGTGAAGGGCACTTTTCTGACCGTATAAAGTATACTTATATATTCTTAATCAGCATCACCAGGCGAGTCGATCTAGCCGTTCGCCTTCTGTCCGTTTCTACTGAAATTAGTCCCTCAGCTTTAAAGTTTTTTGGATGAAACTTTTCAAAAAGACGCAACGGGATATCGGGAAAAAATGCAAATAAAATTCTAACTTCGTTTTTTCTTTACTTATTTCATTTACCCCGAGATTTAGTAATTTTTGGCAAATTTAGAATACGTCTTAAATTGTATAAAAATTGCATGACTTTAGCATATAGGTGCCATAGGAACGATGTTTTTAAATTTATTATTATCTATATTTGTTGTATTACATCAACGCTACAATCACCAAAAAGTCTGCTCGAAAGAAAATTGTTGTGCTAAAAAAATAATAAAATGGAATAATCGGAAAAGCTTCCTTCTACCTATTACTTTCCAACGAATACCATATACATTTTTTTTCTACGACTAACGGGTATAAAATTGTAATTGTGGTTTTGAAATTTTCATGTCACCAAGCTCACCTGCAGTATGGTTTTGGCCTCATTGAGTCCGGCCACATCGGTCCACTTGATGCAGGGATGCCGCTGCAGGATGTCCTTCTCGAGGGTGTCCACCAGATGAGCCTCGTAGCCCAGCGGCGAAAAGTGCTTGGCTTTGGTCTTCGGCGAACACTTGGGCGTGTTGTGGCTGGTGGATAGCGACTGGGCGTGCGAGTTGTCCTCCAGCGATGTGGTGGCATCCTGGTCATCCGAGTTGGAGTTCTCGTCCAGTGAGTTCTTCTTCACCGGCTTGTGCTTTAGAGTCAGCTGGGTGTTGGTGCTCAGCTTCCTGGCTCGCAGGCGCTCCACGGAGCGACTCTTCCTCAAGGCGGCGGTCATGGCGGATGCCCTTGCTGGCCTCCCCAGTCGCATGGCGCCCATACTGGTGACGGGAGTGGGTGCTCCAGTGCCCGCCAACCCCACGTTGCCGGCGCTGCCATGGTGGCTCTGCCCCAGGGTGCTGCTGTTCGCATTGCTGCTGATGGAGGGCAGTGTGGGCTGGAGCTCGGGATCACGACGCCTCAAGGAGGACACCCATCGGTTGTCCTGCTGCTGCGATGGAAACGGCATCTGGGCCGCCTGACTGGATCGCGGCTGAGGAGCCACTTCTGCGGCGGAGACTGCATTTTATTAATGATTATATAATAAACCCCGCATCCCGGAGCACTAACCTTGGGTGGGCAGTCGCTGTTTGCTGCGCAATGGAACACTTCCGCCAATGCCCAACCCTCCTGGGGCATTTGAGCCCAAGTTGTTGATTGGCCGGTGGCGCTCCGCGGTCGAGGAGTGCCCGCCATCCGAACTCTTCTTCAAGCTGGCATTCCGAGGGGGTCGACTGGTGGCTGTGATCTTGGTGAAGGCAAATGGGGACAGAGAGTCCAGGATCAGGGAGTCCATCATCCGCGCCATGTGCGATAGGCTTGTCGGAGGTGTGGATGAGCTGGAAAATATTGGAGTGGAATAAAAATCAATTTATTTTATCTTAAAAGCCCTTTAGATCAAATATAAAACAGGATTTTGACATCATATAGGTCAAGAACTTATAACAAAGTAATAGATAACTATTTTGATTAGCACTTGCTTTCTTTTTATAAACAAATTTGTCTTACAAAGTAGAGTGAAACTCGATACAAAAAGAGTTAAACAAATAGGTGCAGAAAGCTTGATACCACCAGTAAGCTGTTAGAACCAAAAAGTCCAATTTTTAAAAGTTAACAACATATTAGGAAGTAGATTTAAATGTATATAAAATTACAAATTACAGTAATCAATAAATGACGTGTTTGTATTTAGTTTGGAAATCTTAAGACATTGACAATCTTGTTAATTCAAAACAAAGGGTATTTCTGGAAAAGGATGAAAACATCCCCCGAAAACGCCAAACGAAGTACCTTCTTAAGACCACATAATGCAGGCTAAGTAATGTTCCCAAGCGCCCATTTTTAAAACTTATGGTTTACTATCCATAACTTTTTGTGTAGCTCCATGGCGCTTGCCATTCAACTTGGCCATGTCGCAAAGGTCATTTGCTTTATCAGCCGCGGACAAGTGCTTTGCGTGTCCTGGTGTGTGCATATACATATATCGGTGGATTCCTCGTGTTTAGCCGTCTAATATTAGCTAGCCCTAGCAGAGGTCCTTCCCTGCCCCGCACAGACAATGCTCGGGAGTTTCCAGGAAATAAAGAGTTCGGGTGCCTCCCAAGGGGGCCGACTGTTCGTACGGCAGGTGGGTTCAATAAACTCTCTGGCTCTTGGCCAGGTTATTGACGTGCCGGCGACAATTGTTAACTTTTGTATTCGCATTCGAATTGTTTTTTTGGCATTTGCATGCGTCATCCGGCGGCGTTAAAGCCTTTACGGGCATTCGCATCGCGATCTGAGAACTGTGCCGCAATATATTTTACGCCAGGCTAATTAAGTTGGCAGCAGCAGCACGGACATAATTCCCGGCCATATTGCCCGGCTCCTGGCACATCCGCTTGGTATTTATATTGTGTGCCGTGCTCGTTCGAATTTGGGTTAATGTTTCCTATGTGCTCGCCCACGATTTCTGATTTCTGATGGGAATGATTGGTCGAGCGACTAACTAGGCCAGTGCTTATTTGTCCTATATATAATATTCAAGAATCAATGGGCCTTAATCTAGGAACTACTTGCATTTTAATTGATCCATTGATTGATTGGCAAAGTGTTACAAGGCCGGCACGAGCGTGGAAAAAACCAGGCATGGGAAAGTCCAATAATGGCGGACATCCTTGTCCTGTTAATTATGATGGTCTCTTTTAAATTCGTGTCACCAAGAGGTGTTTATGCTAATTTCCACTCGATAAAGCCACGTTTTGCTCTATGCAAATTACAGCAAATGGCAATTATGACTGGCAGAAATACATTTACGGGCCAGCACGAAGAAAACTGGATGGGGTCAGGACGGTCACTTTAACTGGGGACCACAACTCAAGTATGAAACTAAGGTGTCTAGATTATTAATTAAGGAAATAGTTCAATTGATTGTCAGGTCAAGGAATTTAAAGCCCACTATTTGACCCAAATTATTTTTCAATACTTTTTAAAATAACAAAAAACAAGAAGAGAAGCCAACTTCCGAAAGCCGCACATTATATACCCTTGCAGTTATTACAAAACGACTACATTTACCTATATTACTAAAAACAATGAAGATATGTTGATTTTGTGCTGCATTTTGCCATCGTTTTTATGGCAGCTATCTGATATTGTTGTCCGATTTTGACAAAACTAAAAGCGTAATTCTGATTTAGTAAATAATAATTACATAGCAAAGGAATATTTTAATAAATAGGAAAACAGCAAAGAACAAAAAAAGAATTAAAAACAAATTTATACTTTTTAAAAATTGTTT